AGCAAATCTCCACCGAATAGGAGGGCCAGAGATGAAACCACCGAAGGGTCACTGCAGAATGATATTTCTTTAAGGTACGAAGGGGCAAGAAAAATGCCAGGCGACGCCAAACGCAAGCCCCTACAAAATGAAGATCGAACCTCATGCCTGCAAACTGGCATCCCAGCCCTATCACGACCTGACCGTCGTTTGCCAAGCCACGTGTATCTGACCGCCAATTTCTTCATGAAGGCAGCCACGTTGCCCCGGAAGGTCCGGCGCTTGGAGGACTGGCGAAGGGCACCGGGGCTAGGTGCGAACTCGGTTTGATGCGCCTTTTCGTTTCGGTCCAGAATGATTCTGATTGCTCTGACGGTTGCTAGGCCCTGTTTTTGGGGATTGGCAGGCGGCAGGCGGCTGGCCAACCAACCGCCCATTTACTGGCATATATTTCGGTACACTTAGGGCTGCTCGCCTCTGTGTCATCCTTCCGGCGTCTAAGAATACAGCAAAAACCGTCTGACCACCGACAAGGCGCAAACCAAACGCAACACGAGAAATTCCCCCCCTCCCCACCCCCGCCCCTCCCCGGCAGCGGCCGTGGGCTGGCACCAAGGTGCAAGGCGGTGCAAATTTGGAAACAAGTGTGAAACCAATGAAGAACATATAGGGTAAGATGATATTTATAGTGTGTGCGAGAATGTCTTGGTCCACTAGACTCCTGCACACACCCTCAGAACAGCCAGCCCGACTGGTGGCGCACCCGGGTCGGGCTGGGGGGGATCTGCTCCTTGGGCGAGACTTCGGTAGCCGCAGGACCTGAGAACAGCGAACTGTGCCAAACGCTGGCAGTCTTGCGTTGGGGCTCTGTCTCCTTCCCTTTTGCTTTGGCCAGGCAAGCCCCTCCCTGTGGGACAATCGAGGGCTTGCACCTTGCCTGGAAAACGGCGAAGGAAGCGCAAGGTCACTCATGCTGACCAGGCTGACCGGGTCAGCAAGAGCCAAAAAAAGCACCTGAGGCGGAAGCCAGGCTCCGCCACTGCCACTGCAACGGAGGCCTCGAGCCAAGGGGTGATGCGCCAGTGAGCGCGCACAACTAAGAAGATGTCCACAAATTGGACGGTGCTGAGCGCGAGAGTGTCCCCAATTCAACAGCCCGCAAAAAAAAGTGCTCCCGGGGCAATGGTGGAAGTCACCGACTCGGGACCGCTCGTGTACGTCTAACGACTCTAAGGCCCGAACGGGTCTGGGCCGCTCCTCCAGCACCTTCATCGCGACCACCCTGAGAATGGGAGCGCTTCTCCGAAGGGCCGAAGGATGGGGCTGCTGCAGCGGTTCAGGAAAGGACCAAACTGACTGCAAGCAGTGGAAGGCAAGCTCACGCGTAAAGAAAGTTGGGACAAGGTGTGTTATGCATTCTAGCGGGCGGCGCCAGTAGCGTTAATGGCTCAAACTGAATTCAAACAGGGTGAAGAAGACTGACAGTAATTTCCCCGTTGGCCTCGGGCATTGAGAGAGTTCGGGTCAGGTGCAAGCACGGGCTAGCAATTTCTGTATGGGGGGGGGGGCTGCTGCCCTTTACTTGGACAGCTGTCTTGCACCCATCGCAGCTCATTCACACAAAAGCTGAGGTAAACCCTGCACCAAGGTGCTCAGGTGAAAATGGGAACCACGGCCATTCAGGCTGCCACACCATTGGGAATGAGATGTGTACTCATTGGGGTGGTGGATCCCCACCCCTTCCACACACAAAAGACACAACTTATGAGCAAGTGGCCCCTGATTGTTCCTTGTTCTCACTACTTACTGTAGCTGCTATTAACCCTAGTCCCGTGTCTGTGTCTGTGCGTTTGTGTGTGTGTGTGTGTGCATCTATGTCTATATTAGTGCATCTGCCTGTCTATGCATTTGTGGCATCAGGGAATTGAAGTTCTTGCGTAATGCATGCCTCAGAGCAATTACTGTTGACCATGTTGACTGCAAATTGGAAGTAGACACTCCCAAACGCGCTTTTGCTTGCAGTCCCAAACGCGCTTTTGCTTGCAGCTTGGGCACTGATCATCCGCTGTCCCCTGAACAGCCTGCGTGTGCATGTGCTGATGTCACGACTGATGCAAATAGGTCTTGTCCCCAAATGCCAAGGAACCTGTCCTTCAGCTGACACAAGGGACCATCCTTGTGGCTTTGACAAGGCCCAGGTGCCCCAAAGAAACCACCTTCGTGACGCGCGGCCCTCGCCCCCGCCCACCTCCGGGGTTAAAGTGGTCGACCTCGCGGGCACCGGCTGCACAGATCGCTGCCCGCAAGGCCCAATCCGCCCCATCCACTCACTAAAGCATTTCTGTCGGAACAGCGTGCCCCACATGCCTTTTCCCTTTTTCAGTCGCCAATTTGGGCCAGTTCAAATGTCCCGCTTTCCGCATCTTTCCGTTCCTTCTCTCTTGGGCTCCCGGCTTGGGCTCGCCAGCCACCTCTTCGTTCTCTTCCCGCTCTGCCTTGATCTTGCCCAGCAGCTGGGCGCCCCAGGCCAAGTGCTCCTTGGCCTCCTGCGGTTACGGGCGTCGGCCAGAGCGTCATGGAAAACCCGGGTTGGACTGAGTGCGGGCTGGGGAGTTCGGATTGCCGCTCCTCTTCCAGGCGTTGCTTCTCAGCCTCGAGCTGCACCTTATACTTAGCCGCATCTGTCGCAACCTGGCACGACTTTTTGCTCCCCCCGCCCCTGTCCCAGAATAGCCAGCTGCACGCCCCCTTCCAGCATGCTGGGCTCAACAAGATTCTTGAATCTTGAGTAGATAAGAAAGCTGGAATCTTGAATTTTGAATCAAGTTGGCTGGGTCCGATTCATGAAATGTTGCTACAAGTAGGGGTTTTGCATTTGCTCTGCAATGGCTGCGGCATTCAGAGTTCAGGAAATGTGAGCTCCGGTTAGAGGCTCTGGTGGATTCTTGAGGGGTTGCGTGTTCAGGGCACTTCCTGGGTGCGAGCGCAGGGCCTGCCATCGAATATGCATCATGGCATGCATTTTGGTGACCCAGCCTTCGGCAGTTACATGTGGAGTGAACTTGTGTTCTTCGCTTGATCAGCCATACACACATTATGCGCCTTGTTGGTTGCATGCGTGGGCGGGTGTGTTCTTTTGACTTGGTTTTTGCATGTGCGTCTTACCGCAGAAAGACCATCTGCCACGTTGGCGTCTACATGATCTTCTCGCGCACGCTGACGGCCGAACTGCTGCACGCTTAGAAAAACTATACCCAAGACCACGCCAGTACCAAAGACGGCCTGGCATAAAGCCTATGGGGACACGCTGCCAAGGCAGCAATGCAAAGGCACTCTTGAGATGAGCGAGCATGAGCTGCTGAATGCTCTTGGGAAGCAGTGCTTCCTTGGTGGTGGCGCTTGAGGAAAAAAGTGTTCACTTCACATCACTTGTTAACGTAATGGGGAGGCACTGATGCTCTTCTTCTGTGAGCAGAACTTGCATCGGAAAGTGTCGGATCAGGAAATGACGACAAAAACTGTTCCTCAGCCGCTGGACTGCACATCGTCAGCGACTCGACCCATCAAACAAAGTGTCTCTTACCCGGAACCCGGCGCCAAACTGGCTGCCTCTGGGTGGGCTGCAACAGCGTCGAGGACTTTGAAGCTCCGCAATAGGTATTCCTGGCCGCGAGAAACCTCCCCAAACCTGAGGGCCTTGAACCCCACGACGCCCTCAGAGCTGGACTCCCAAAATGGCATAGAAACCCTGGTCTCCACTTCGCATCAGCCAAATTCCAAACTTTGGCGCTGCTTTCTTTACCCCCTTCAACAGTCGCAGAAAAACGGCTTCGTTTATTTGAGCCCTGCTCGGAATAACGCCACCCAGCTCCACCGCTCCTGACGGGCTTCGTCTAGGCGGTTGAAGTGATCCGTCAGTGTGACAATCCTCCGTCGACGTGCGGAATGGGCTCAGTGCGGGACTCCAACTCTCAATTAGGGCACAAATATTCTGCAAGTTGTTCGGGCTGCTTTCCTTGTGGTCATTCTTGCCTTTTGCTTGCCCCTTGGCGAGCCCTTTCAGGGATGAACACATGCCGCAGGATCGTTGGCATGGTCACCCTGACCCAAGCATCCTTCCAGCTGCAGCCGGGCCACGGGGCGCTCGCTGTGTCGGGGTCCCGGCGCGGATGCTGGCCTGTGAGCTGCATCAGCTTGCAAGCTGCAACTCCTCCAATCAACCCCAACCAGGTCAGCCGTTCTCGTCCCCAGGTTCACCCATAGGCCATAGGCGGCCGTAAAGAAAAACCAGGGTTTAGTTCTTACAGAGTTATCAAAAAAATGAGCCCTAAAACGAACGCTCTGGCAACAGGTTGCCTGTTTGAAGCCACGTTCCGCATTTCTGAGAGCGAGCATCTGTCAAATCCTGTATGTAAGCACCGCACCAGTGACGATACTCGTGCTCTCCCGCTTCAGCTTCTCATCCTGAGCTGAATAGGGGCTTGCCTGCGCGTGCTGGATGGCATGGCGGAAAAGCAGTGGAACGGCTTCTCGAAACTTGACCTTCTGCAGATCGGACGCCAAACAAACCCGAGGCCCGGACCGGGCCCGCCATACTTTGGGCCCCAGGTCCCACACACTTCTCGCAGGTTGCGAGAGCGCCCATCACCGCATCAGCGGAAGTGAGACCACTTTCTGACACATGCACTGCACGGTGTCCCCTTGGGGTTTTTGCGAGGCTGTCTGTGGTGTCTGTGTGGTCTGCGTGGTCTGCGTGGTCTGTGTGTGTGTGTGTGTGTTGTGTTGGATCCATCGAACGCCTGAGTGAGCCCCTGAACTCGCCGACAAAGCACGAAATCGACCGCGGATGCACTGCCGCTCCGAAGCTTCATACAGGCAAAGCTTCAGAGCTCTAGAGAACTGCAGGAAATGGAGGTGGAAAGCATCCGGGGATGATGATCTTGACAATCAACTGTCTCACTCAGACCATTCTAGCACAGTAAGTTCCCTCGAGTGCAGTCGTGCACGCCCTGGGCCCCAGCTAGCATGAGCCTGTAGCTGACATGCTTGCCACCGGTCCTGGGCACAAAGGGCGACCCCGTACACGGGGTGAAGTGTCAGCGCCCCACCCCGATCACATCTTCAATTATTGGGGCTGTGTTTTCTTGCGAGTACCTAGTTTTTGGGGTTGCTCAAAGGAAACCAAACGCAAAGCCACCACTTTGGGAATCCCCCTATTTTGAACACACATTATGGAATCCAAACGAATTACCCCGCTCACCCCAGAAGGGTGGGCGACCCGACATCCGGTCTCTGGGTCGGGGACTCTGCGCTCACATCCCATCGGCCAACCTCGGCATCCGAAACATCTCACGCCGGAAATCCTGCCCATCCAAACCATGCAGTTTAGCCCGTTCTTGAGAACCGCTCTTGGACCCAACACTCACGACACCAGCCATCTTTGAAGGGATGGCCTCCCAGCCGGCAACAAACGCGCACCCGGACGCCCCACGCCCAGGGCGCACGCCACGCTGTGCTTCAGAAGGCCCTGGTCCACCGCAGCCAGCAGGCAGCTCCGGCGCCTCGCGACCGCAGCGACCGCTGCGACCGCTGCGACCGGCGACCGCTTTTCGGTGCACCCCATTTGGGTTTGGTCATTCTTTGCCCTTACCCGCAAAAAGGGGCAATGTGTCATTTGACTTTCACCCTGGTGTGGCCTTCTCTCATGAGCAGGCCAGGAGCAAGAATTATATTTGTTCCTTTCCTTTTTGTGAACAAAGAGCCGGAGGCGCATTAATCTCTTCCCCCAATTAATGAATGACCCCAATTAATAATAAATGCAAATCCGGGGCCCGGGACCAGATGTCCACTCCACACAATTGATTTTCCATTGCGCCAATACTAAACCAATACTAACGTCTTGGAATCCTTATTAGGGGGCACTTTTGGCAAGCTTCCAGCCTCACTTTTCACTTATTGAACCGCTTACTCGCGGACCTTACAATTCAATCCATTTCATCCAAATCCTACGTGAACCCTCACATTGTTGGAAAAGCAAAAAAAAACAACCCCAAAAACCCCAATTAAAAAATATATATATATATATATTTTTTGGGGTGGGATTTATTTATAATAGGGGGGGGCCGTATTTATTAATAGGGGAAGAGATTATGTCAAACCCACCATGGCGTGAGGAACAAAAATGTCAAACCTTGACAAGGGGCAAAGGGCACCCAGACTCAACTTTCTCCTCCCGTCTCAGGTCGCTGCACTGTGCTCAGCAGCGGCTCGGCCCCATGAGAGACGGGCCTTGGCGGGCCACGGTCAAACCGGGGCCCTCGGAGTGATCGCATGTTGAGGGGGCCTCAACTTACCGTGAAGAAAACCCGTCTAAGCCACAATTGAGAGATGCTTAGAGGGTAGTTGTCAGCTCAATGGATCCAATCACAGCCCGTGGTCCCCGCGGCCCAGGGCAGTCTGAAGCAGACTTTCCTTCCTGCACGCACCCGGAGCTGCAAGCCCCCACGGCTCAATTGTCCAAGACAGCTGTGTATCAGCGAGGGGGCAAGTCCTGTGCTGCTCGCAAGGCTCCATCCGCGGCAGCCTTTCAGGCAACATCTTGGCTTGCTTGCAAGGCTGAGTGATATCAACTTCCGCAAGCCGCCGCAGCACCCACCCACCCACCCACACCCTCCCTGCCGCGCTTACTCGCTCACTCCTCGCTCCCGGGCCCTCCTCAACTCAACCTCAACTCGCGCAGGGCCCACCAGCGCAAAGATTGCAAACCTATGCAATCGTCTGCGATGTATGCTCAACTTTGTTTTTTAGATTTGATAAGCACTAGCGCTCCACAAAGCCCCAGCCCACCAAGCTCCAGCACCCAGCAAGCCCCTGCAAGCCCCTGCAAGCCCCCGCAAGCCCCTGCAAGCCCCTGCAAGCCCCTGCAAGCCCCTGCAAGCCCCTGCAAGCCCCTGCAAGCCCCTGCAAGCCCCGCCAGCGTGCCGCTCACTGTTCCTTCCAACTCTTGACAAATTTCACGAAAAAGCCTCCTTGTAGAGCTGGCTCAGGTATCTCCACCTTGCAAATTGCGCGCGTCCTCTCACAACCACCTTCTGCCCTTTGAGTGCTGCGCAAGTTCTGCATCAAGATCGGCCGTCGACCCGTCACATCGAACAATTCCTTGGCCTCCTATTCGACCAGCAGTCCAAAGAAAACTGTCCGCGCACCCGCCACTCACATGCCTAGCCCACACCTACCACTCGCATCATCTCACATCCACCCGCACGCGTTCAACAGTCGAGCAGAATGCAAACCATGCAAACCATGCAAACCATGCAAACCATGCAAACCATGCAAACCAAATCCATGCTCGCTGCCGCTTGGTGCTTGTCGCTCCTCCATCGCCAGCCGCATGCTCGAGTCTGGCTGCATTTGCCTGCAATCAGCCATGCAGCCAAAATACCGTGGCGGCAGCTAAGTGACATAGGCACAAGCACTTTCTCAAGCGCGACACAGAAAGGCGGCGCATGCACCGCAGTGCCCCACAGTTCTTGAAAATGCTATGGCTGAGGATTCCCTCGCCCTTGAAAGCTGCATCATGCAACGGGCCATTGGCCCAGGAAAGCGTCCAAGCGGACTATTGAGCCAAAGAAACAGCAGTCTTACATCAACATTGGTGAGTAAGCAAGCTGCGGCATTGGCATCAACGCTCAGCAGCGCGTCCAAGCTACTGTAGGGCACGCGTCGAAGAAGCCACAAAAATGGCAAGATTTGTCCTTCGGGAGTCATGATGTGGCTGTCCCTACAATGACAACCCCCACTGCAAGGGTGCGATAAGGGTACAGTAGTTGGACAACCTTTAGACTTGAGCACGCTTATTCACTGTGTGGACACATGTGGACACGGCATGTGTTCACCTCACGAGACGATGCCGTCATGATTCGACCAAACCAAGATCAATTGCCCATTGGTGTGTTTTGTGGATTGGCATGAAGCCCTGTGCTTCCTCCCAGGCCTTTGGTGAGCCCAAGCAACAATGCCAAAGTTGGTGTTGGTGAGTTGCCTGTCTAGTGTTGTCTCCCGTCTTCACTGTCGCTTTGTTGCTTGGGTCCGTACGGCGCACTTTTCTTCCCAAGGGTGTCATTTTGTCGTCCAGCTTGGGATTTGGCCCGCAAGCCCCGCCCAACAAGACTTCATTTGCAGCCCGGGCTTTTGCCTCAAACACATGTAGCCCACCCCCCTGCTTAAAGCTATCTCTGAAGGAGATGGCCGTGTCAAGCGTCCCCCTCCCCGGAAAAGGAAAAAACACAGCATCAAAGGCATCAAACTAGTCACAAAAGGGCGGCCGCCCTATTTATGCTTGCACTATCCCTTCTGCACCTTCACCCGTCCGGCTTTTGATTGTGGCACATCAAGCCCGTCGTCCTGACTGGACCAAAGGCAGCAGCAGCGTCTGCAACACCTCCGGCCGGGCGGCAGCAAGCCGCATCAGGCCCATGAAGCAGCTGTCTGGCTGCAAGTCCGCCGGCTCCAAGGCCTCTGGTCTGCCCTCCGAGCTCATAATCCTATCTGTCAGCTGCAACTCACAGAACGTCACATTCCATGGCTACCGAACCAAAAACGGATTCGCCATCGACTCCGCCAGTCCCACAATACTTTGGAGGCGCCAGGCTTCCTGGTAAGACAGGCACGCCAGTCCCACCTTTACACCCCGCGTCCCGTCCGCGCCTCGAAGGTCTGCACAGACCCCGGGCTCACCAGCATAGGGCTCAGCACCTCCGGCCGCAACGTGCGCAGCAGGGCGGCCAACATCTTAGCGTCCTGCACCTCCCGCAGGAAAGGCACCAGGAACACCTGCGGATCCGCGGTGACCGTCGCTTTGGACCCCAGAAGAGCCAGGGTTTATTTATCTTTAGTCTTGTTCGTGAACTGACGGGGCTCCCCTCGAAGAAGGCTTCACCTGTTTTGTGCCTCGAAAGGATGTCATACGGGTGAGTGGTTTTGTGTGCGCATGCTTTGGGAACACCCCCAGACATGCGGAGTCGACTCGCCGAGTGATTTCCACTTTGTTTTACCACAACAGAAGTCTTGCGCCAAACGCAGATTTTCTTTCCATGCCAGCAGTTTCAGCCAGCAAAAGCATCCTCCGCAACGCCGTGATGGTGGTAACAGTCGGACAGACGATCACAATTGGCTTGCTTAGACAAGTCCTCTTCGTAGGTATCGCCCGTGGACCCAAAGCTTGCGAACTCGGCATGTCGAAATGGCAACTCCCCAAAACAGCCTTGTGAGAAACCATGCTTGAGATAGCAAGGGTGCCCTTTTCAGGTCGGTTTAAACACAGATTGAGCCCCGCAACCTCCACCAGGAAGCCGCTGGCCGGCGCCAGCCACTCCAGCACCACTCGCTCCAAGTCATCCCCCAGCGCTGCGGCCAAGGCTCCAAGCTGCGCTGGCGGCAGCGACAGCACCGCCTGCCGTCCGAGGGCATTCCCACGTCTCTTCTTTTTGAAAGTCATCGTATTTGGATTCTAAACTTTGGCATCAGCACGGATGAGTCGTTCGCACCCAGGAACACGTTCGATCAACGGCCGCTCAAATCATCATTTTTTTCACTCGTCCTCTTGTACCCCAAGCAACCGGAAACTAAAACAATGTTTGCAGCACGCCCTGCTGTTTCAGGGTTTCACCATCCCCCTCAGGCACTCCTCTAAAACAAAAACATGGAAATCGCGGCATGTGGGTACGGGGTAACCCCAGAAAGGGCAGTTCCCTCGACAAAAACAAAACCTACCAGTCTAAACCAACTTGCCCAGCCCCTCGCCTGCAGGTTCTGCAGCGGCACTGCCCGCAGCACCTGTCGAAGCATGGAGCTAACCAGGCTGCTGGCTTGGGGCCGGACTCATTTTCTGGACAAGTTGATTCAAAGCCTGGGCCGCGCAGGGAAGCTTGCCTCAAACCCGCAAGCCTGAGCCACGCACGATCCTGTGCTCGGCGGAGTCGCTGCAATTTGCCAAGGCCGAACATCTGGATCAAAAATTCACGCCACCACAAGTGGGAGCTACAACAACTCGCCCCATCTTCCTTGCTTGCGGGTTCCAATAAGGGCCAACGATTTGGAGCCTGACCACCAAAAAATGCTCAAACGAAACAGGTGAAATCTGCTGGCACCTGGCCTCCCCCTCCTCCCCACCCACCAGCCACAGCGCAAATAACACAAATACAATACCCAAGCCCTCCTCAAAAAACAAAAGCAACACCAAAAAACTCCAACAAAAAATCAACGCCCCACACCACCCACTCCTCCCTCCCAAGAGCACTGAAGGCCTGGCACACGAAGCTGGGGGTGGCCTGGGGCTGCCGCAGCACTTCCGCCAGGCCCGCGTGCAGCTCCTCCCAGCCCAGCAGCGCCGCCGCCTCCCGGAGCTCCGCGGAAGCCGCAAAGTCCAACAAGTGCAGCAGGTGAACCTCCCACGGCCCCAGCCGTCCCGGCCGCCAAAGAGAGATGAACCCAAAGGCCTGGACGAACCCACGTCGCCATGGTGGGGGGGGCCCAAGGAAGGCTTCAAGGCAATTTCGACCAGCGCAGCTCAAGATGAATGCTCCAGAGGTGCTTGCTTGGCATGGTTGCGCAAATAAACCCCATCTGCGATACCAAAGTTTGCCGTTTTTCTGGACCATTCTGTCGCCATGAAACGCAATCTCTTGCGTGTCACAAACGACATGCACCTACCTCACGCCTTCGCCAACTGCAGGGGGATGATGCCCAGGAAGTGCCGCAAAGGCTTTGGGTCCACGTGCCCCAGCAGGGCAGCCAGCTTCTGCGGGTGCAGGCCCTCCTGGCCATTCAAGCCCTTGCTTAACTTGATGTCCGGGAAGTAGTTGGGCTCTTTGGCTCCCAGCTCTTTCTTTGTATGCGTGTTGTCCCCAGACCCTTGGCTCCCCAATGTCCACAACCCACTTTCCTTCTCGGTGCACTAGAGCTCTTCAGCGGGTATGACTGCGAGCAGTCTACGGCATGCGTCTAACTCAAAAATGTTGCCGCACATGGGCTCTCGCACTCGACGTCTCCTGTCTTTTGCCATTGGCTTTCGTGCATCCTGCTGCGCACGTATGCTTCAGTTTCTACACAACGAGCACCCCGATCTGCGCAGAGGCTCAAGAGGGTTACGGAAGAAAAACGCAAAACCCTCATGTGTCTTGCTGCGCAACAAGGCTAACGATTTGCCCGGACTTCGAACCCTTCGAAATGCTTTCGGGCAAAATGGTTTCCTGGTGTGGTCTCCGAAACGCTTCGCTCACATGACAGAAAAGTTGGCTTGCTAAAAAGGCGCTGATGGTTTCCTAGAATGAGCGAACATGGACATCCTCGCGACAGACTTCCAACCATGTTGCTTTCTATCAACTTCCCTGGCTCGGGCGGGTCTTACAAGTTCGCTGGCCTTCCGGGCGCCCCATGAAAACCAACCAAACTGAGACCTCGAATGGTGAAGCAGCCCTTGCACCATGCTCTTGCTGTGGCCAAACCGCATGAAAACCAATCAGATCTAGCCATTCAAACTTATATACGCATATGCTAATATGTGTGTGTGTATGTTTAGATGTAAATATATGCATTCTTGTACATATCTATATCCGAGATCGTGCATTTATACTTGTATATATATATATATATGTATATATGTATATATATATATATATATGTATTTCACAGACGTCACGGTGTGAGCTGATGTTCGAGCAGCCGGTTGCCGACCATTTCTTTCAAGAAAAATGATCCCCCCCCTTCACGGGACAATCTTCCCGACCAAAAACGCAACTGGAAATGCAATGGCTCACCATTCTGTTGGCCCTTAAGATGGCAACCGCTACGCCGGTTTCCACTGTCACATGTTCCCAACAAAAGCGCCTGGTGTAGCCACTCATTTCTTACTCCAGTGGAAGGCGAGCCCAGTGTTTCTCTTTGGGGGGCCCGCCAAAGCATGCATCTGAATCATTTCGACCGCCCTCCTTGGAGTGAAGGAGCTGTGGGTAGTCCACTGCCAGCGCCGCCTGAGAGCTACATGGAACCTGACTGCGAGGCCCTTCGCAAACGAATGTCCTCTTTTGCAGGGTCCTTCTAGGAAGGAAGATGCATCACTCCAAGGAAATAAGAGTGACATTGAACGCCCGACCTGGCAATCAGCGCAAAACGTGCTGGGATGCCAAGATGCAGTTACGTAACGTCACCAGCAATCACGCGCCTACTTTGAGTTCTCCTGACAAGCCTGTTCTTTACACTCCCTGCCAGGCTGCCAACCAGAACCTTCGGAATGCGCATGAAAGCATGTCGAAGCCCAAAGCCACCCCAAACTCACACACCAAAATACTTTCAAAATACAAGCTCTCGATGCATGATTCAGTCCTGTTTTCACTTGCGCCCATTTGCATCCAACCAAGTTGGGGAGGAGCCCTTGTGTGAGGGCACAACCCCCCTCGCCCCTACATCGGACCTAGGCACCACCTCAGAGGTGCGGAAGCTGGGGGAGCGCTCCCGGCGGAAGGCCTTAGCATCCAACCCTTGAAGGGGACAAGCCGAGGAAAGGTGCATCGAAGGATGTCAAACAGTTTGGGGGGGCCCTTGGCGTTCCAAACAGCCAAGGCCTCTAAAGGCAACTCAACGGGTTCATCCTACAAGCGAAGGGATCCCCAGAGCGGTGCCTGTCCGTGAGCTTCAAGACAATCGGATAGACAAAAGGGCTCCGAAGGGCTCCGAAGGGCGGTGCTTTACCCCTGGCACTCATACCCCGCAACCGCCAAGAGGAACTTGGAAGCACCCAAAAAAAAAGATATTTTCACCCGGCCTTCTGCGCAAGTAGGCGAGACCTTCTACGTTGCACCCTGGGGGGGGGGGGTAACCCCTAGGCCCCTTCAAACAAACAGAAAGCCAAGGTGCCTTTCGCAATGTCTCCTCTTTGGGAGGAGGGGGTCGCAACAGGGTCAATTAAAACGGCAACTGAACAACCCTCATCTACGGGGGTGCTGTAGAGCATGTCAAAACACAGTCAGTACCCTAGCAACAGCAGAGGGTTCATTCCGTGAGCGAACCTATGGTGCCCTTTGTTCCCTTTGCATGATTCACCTCCTGCTAAGGTTTGCAAATCTATTTCGTCTGATCGCAGCTTTACCTGCCTAAGGTCGGCACCGAAATCCCAAATGGCTCCCATTCTCAAAAGACAATCGACTGGATCATCGCGAGAGGGAGGTTGTTTCCATGATGTCACTGGAACAAGAGCTTGGAGAGCTAATACATACCCCTTGACATATCAGCCAACACTGAGCTTGCCACATCTGAAATTCAAACCGAGCATCTACTTAGAAACCTGTGCCAATTCATGTCGGGCATTGCTCCTACTCGCGTAAAAGGCTTGTGCAGGCTTTCGTGCTTTTGCAGGGTTTCAGGGACACATGAAAGCCACTTGACTTTTGAGGGCGTCAAAACCAGAGAACCATCCTCAAGCCTACAGATTAGGGCCAAACGGCTTGTGCTGATATCCCCAGCCCCGAGCTGTTCTGTGCTGGCGGTGCTCGCGATAGGGCATCAAATGGTCTTTGCCGCCAAAGAGCTCCAGCAGTCATCGAGTCTGCCCGAGGTCGCTGTTGGAGTCACGGAATGCTTGAGGCGCGGAGAAGCACAAGTGACTCTTCGCAACTGGAATGGGTTCCATGATGGTTCCATGTAACAGTACCCCTGCGATACGCCACCAAGTCGCGAGGACTCTTGGCTCCACCTCATCTGCAGCGGACCCCACCTGCGGAGGCGTTGCACGCAGGTCGCCACCACGGGCAAAATCTTTGGCCAGAAGAGCCGCGGATCTGCCTGAGCACTGGGCACTTCGAGGCTTCAAAGCGACAGGCCGTTTCCCCTTTTCCCAGCGCCTCCCACACGCGCTGCTGCAAGGCGAGCGGCAGACCCTGCCCCAACCTTGTCACTTCGCCGCACCCCAACCCCCCCACCAGCGACATTCCCAGCTGGGAAGAAAGGCGGCAAACAAGTGAATGGTGCGGGGCCTGTAAGTTCAGACAGCCCCACATGACCAACCAGCCAGCAGGAATTGCGTTGCTCCCTCAGGGTGAGGCTCTTTGAAGGACCTCGGCGGGCACAGCGGCCGCGAACCCTGCCTGCTTCAAGAACTTCAAGTGCTTCCGGTACTTTGGGGCGCTGGCTGGGACATGGATGCCAGCACCTGGCCACCAAGTCGAGCGCATTCTTTTGAGAACATGACAGCCCCTTTGGTTTCTGCCTTGGTGCTCACACACTGCGCGCGCTCAACGGAGGGCACCGAGCAAACAAAAACAAAAAAAAGCACCCCGCCTGCTTCTCCAGCCGCTGGAGCAGGATCACACTCTCAGAGGAGGCGGTCAACCAGCCACCGCCCGGGAGCTCAGAGAGCCGGTGCAAAGTGGCGAGAAGGAACTCAGCGACCTCAAGGCCCAGGCAGCCCTCGCCCCCATTGAGCAAAGCATTCCATTATGCGAATTTGGAGAAGGTGCAAAGCCAGAATGCTTCCCCTGAGCCCATGGAGGCTCACAGGTTTTGGGTCGTAGCCTTTGGCCCTTATAGCTATCAACCTTGGGGAGAGCTCAGCCTCTCATGTGGGCGGTTCAATATAAAACTGGAAGCTCCCTTTGCAGGCAACAAAGGCACCTGCCCTCCAAAAGAGCTCCTGCCTTTGCGGAAGATGCGTGAAGCTGCATGTCGCTCAGAACCTACCACGGCGTGCGTTGAACCTGCCATGTGTTGCCAGGGCACATCCGAGCCTTCTCGGCTGCTGGGCGGGCTCCACTCTTCAAGTCTTGTGCCTGCGCGCTCGGAGAATCGCAGGCGCAAAACTCACGCCCCGCGCCAGAAGGTGGGACATCTCGCCGCGGAGTTGGGTGAAAACGGCACCAGGCATCCTCGCAGAAATTGCAAACCCGTGAGAGGCGCGCTCCACGCTGAGCTGCGCGCTGGCCCATGCAGCCCATGAATTCAAGTGCAGGTTGCAAGCCTTCGGTTCAGTGAGAATCCATGACTCAAACAGAAAAAATGCATGGGCCTGTGTCAAAGGAGAGCTCCTCCTGTTGCAGTTCGGATGCGCATTGCGCCACCTGCCCGGCACGCAAGTGGTGCACAACCGAAAGCTGCTTCAAGCCAAGGCGCCGCTTGGACCTCCTCGCCAAACTCCGAGGTGCATCCTGCAGCCAGCCCCAGGCCCATCCACCCAACTGCGCACAAACACGCCACCATGCACGCACACCAAACACAGCAGCGCTACAACTGCTGGCCTTGCAAGGCTTGCTCCAACTTGTTGCGGACACGCCGCTTCTTCGCGAGCAGGATCTTGGCGCCAATCATTTTGGCGCACGCGACCGTGTCTCCCAGAGTAGAATCGATTGAGCGCCGGGCGGGCGTGGTGTCCTTCGAAAGGGTGCTAGAAAAGACTAGAATCTTAGAAAACCAGAATCTTCAGCAAGCAGCTGGAGCGTGATTTGAACTCACGCCGTTTCAGTGCGGACTCTCTTGCCCAGGTCCCTGGGGCCGATCTTCAATCGCCGCTCCATGGGCAGTCATGGCGTGGGGCTTGGTTGCTCCAGTCGACAGCGAGAAGATGTTGACGCAAAATGTTGCATGGTCATTGGATAAAACAACAAACAACTACTTGGCTGTCCTTCGAGTTTCCTTGTGGCTTCCTTCTTCCTCACATACCAAGGCCTGTGCGACTCCCACAAAATGCTTTGCCTGGCTTTTCGTGGACCTGGGAAAGCTGATCTGGGCTGCGGCCTCTCAGTAGCCTGGCCCCTAAGCTGAGAACTTCATGAAACGCTTTCGAGCGAAATGGCGCTGCAGCGCTGAGGCCAGGGCGGCATCGAGTTTTGGGATTCACTGAGGGATTCTAAACAGCGAATGTTGCACAGGAGTCCTGGATACGCGCATGTTACCTGGCTGTGTCTTTGGCGCAGATCTGTGCAAGTCGGCAAAAGACGGCATAGCCTTCAGCTATCATCTCCCTATGCAGGACTTCCGTCTCACAGAGCACACGGCAAGAGTTCCACAGGGAGACAATTCTGCCCAAGAGAAGTTCCAAACATAAGAATAAGATGCATTGTTGGTTCCTTGACCAGCCGCAGTTCAAAGTGAGTGACCGGTGGGGTTCAGTTGCACCGTATTGTCTGACCATATGCATAAACACAAGCTATATCTATGCTTATGTGTTTACGTGTGTGGGTTGAGTTTGATATTATACACGCGGCTGCCAACAAGAGGACATCTTACAACTAAGCCACGCCACAAGAGTGAAGCCTGGAGCGGCTGGAGCCTCCGCCAAGGGGCTGAGCATGCCAATAGAAGCAACTCATAGACCTGTCCATGGCTCGGCTGGCACCGGGACCTTCACCAGCGCAACTGCCTCAGGCCTTGGCCAAGGTGGCGCAACGGGCGAAAGCCCCGGCGGTGCCGTGAAACAGAGCCGTGCCAATGGGCCAGCTCGATTATCGCCCGGAGGTTAGAGAAGATGCACCAAGAGCGGCTGTGTGCCGCGCCCCCACACCGTAAAAAAGAAAGAAAAACGCCAGCTGGGCGTTCATATTATTAGCAAGACATCCCCTTTGCCATGTTTTTTTCTCAACCTCCTGGGCGCTGTCGTGCGCAGCAGAACCCAGTTCGCCCTTGCATCTGCGAGAATGCTGCGCAAGCCACAGCCGGCGATTGGGGAAGGTCATGGTCAATTCACTCACTGAATAAGGATACTGCCAACACCCCGCAAGAAGGCAAGGAACGGTTTTGAACGGGCACTGCTTCAGTGAAACGGCAAAGGGTGGCAGTGCTGGCCCTTGGCCGTGCTATGCGGAAGGCGGCGCTTCAGTCCGAGTCCAACTCCATGGCCCAGTGGTCCAACGCATGGAACTCCTCCGCAAACCTGCAGCCAGGCAAGTGGGATGCGTGCGTGGTATGAACCCCTGGCACACCCTGGTTATGGGTTCATCAACCATACATTGCGGGACTTCCCTTCTCTGACGCTACCAGGAACACAGCCATCAAGTTGTTTCAATCGTCCAATACGTGATGGGCCCTCACGGCAATCAGAATGCAAGTCACTGTCCGGCTAAAAACATCCTCATCAGGCCCGGCAGGTTGCTACGCTCCGGCTCTGGCGCGGAGCAGCCTTCTTGCCTTTTCCACGAAGTTGCTCATGCCAGGGTCGGCCAACCTTGCCGTAGCCACATAAGCGTCTGTGCAAAGGCCGCCTATGAAGCATGAAGTTCCCCCATGTCGCGGTTCAGACAAGCAGCAGCGGCTGCAGTGCAGCCACCAGTTTTGCCTGAGTCCGAGGCAGCCACAGGAATCCCAACGATCCTCCTGTGCTAGGCGCAGCACGGCCCCCACATCGCTCGCCTCAAAGCCTGCGAAGCCAGCATGAAGCTCCCAGGGTCTGTCGTTCAGGTCCCAGCCGTAACGACTGATGATCTCTAACTTCGCCTGGCATCCGATCCAGTCCCGAACCCCGCCATGGCCCATGGCAAGAAACGTGGTCAACGGCAAATAGCGCCCAGGGCCAAGAGCCAAGACCCACAACCCTTTCCCCTCCCCCGACTGCACCCACAGATCTGCCCGTCCTCGTGGCTACGGCTGCCCTGCCGCGACATGCCCATGCGACTGGACGCACAAAACCAGAGAGCGGACCCAAATAAAGCGGTCCTTGGCAGCACCTTTGCCTCCTGGCACGCTGCGTGGCGACGCATGCGACAGCTACCTAAACTTGTTTTCGTGTTGCATGCGTGCCTTCCCCCCAATGCAAATATTGAGGCAATCAAGCAAGGCAATAAATAGTGCTCAGGATTACAATTTTGACGTGTCGCGAATCTAGCACCCACGAATTGTTGCCGGCCAATGCAAATGCCAGACCAGCGCTTCCAGCATTGGGTGTCCGGGTTGGAACACTAACCCTATGTTCCAAATCTGGCCATGGGGCCATGCCACCCTGAAATCCGACATGCCAGGCCCGCGCGAAACGCTGAGCTCCGTGAGGAGGGCTCGCGCCCGAGCCTCGTTGCAAGTGGGAGCAAGCCGCATGCCCTTTGCTTGCCGAAGAAGCAAGGTTGACGGAATCTTTGGGAATACTGGCCTGGTTGGGCCCTCCTGAAAATACTGTTTTGGACTTTGTCACTTCAAAAGGAATTTCCCTTGACGTCGCAAACACTCCCAGGGCGCTTGCCAAAATCGGGGACCCTCTTTTTGCTTGGCATCTGTTTGGAAAACAAGAGCGCCATATCTTGTTTGGGCCAATAACCTTTGATGCCAGTCTCGCAGCATTGCGTCAGCAGCATCCGTGCAAGGGCACCTTTATTATGTCAACAAGCTGCAAATCCGGTCCTCAGGCGGAAGACTCGGAAGCCAGCGGTGTATGTACACGTCCCCAGGCCTAAGGCCGTAGGACTCTCACACTTCTCCGAAACGATCCTCGCACTGCGAACATCCAGCCGGATCCAAGCGCGCTACACGTGAAACACTCCCTCCACTTCACAGAGAGATAGAGGGAGAGATCTGCTGTTCTTCGGGGATCCCGAAGGTTGCTAGCAGTATATCGCACACTGGGCCAAAGCTGAATCAGCTGCCATGATCTCAAATCCATAGTTTCGCTGCACCATGCACTGCCCAGGCAGGCACACCGGCAAAGTGGACAAGGGCTCGACCGCCGTCAGCTCTCCCTTGGAGGCTCTGCCACTCATCAGGTCCGGATCCGAAAGCTGCTGGTCCAACGGCACATAGGCCACGGGTGGGCTGTGCGTCTGGCGCCTGTGGATCTCTGAGAGCACCATGTCATAGTGCGGGCAGCGAGAGTCAAAGTTGTCGACCTCGCCAGGGCACAGACAGTCACCATGCACGGCGCGAAGGTCCAGATCAGTGTTGACCCCTAGTGCCCCTTTCTGCCCTTGGTGGCTCTCAGTCTGCTGCCTTGGCGATGGCCATGGCGGAATGAGACATACTGTATTGGGTGTCACTGCCACCCCTTCCAAATTGCGAGAATTTGGCGGCATGGAAACCTCTAGGCTCAAGAGGGTCAGTGGAAAGCCTGCTCTATGCGACTTGTGACTTGGATGCTTTGCCAAGCCACTTCTTGGGTTTGCGTAGGGGTATTCATGGGATTGTCCAAGAAAATGGCCAAGTGCGCCTAGATTAATGTCTCGGATATGTAGCTTTGCTCATTGCAAGTCAGCATATGAGGGGTACGTCTTCAAAGGAACGTAACTACGTATCCCTCAGTCACAAGAACAATGCTTCTTGGAGACCTGCCCGCGCCTTGGGCGTCCCAGAGGCGTTGGTCCAAATGGGGCTCCGCGGGTGCGTGCCCAGCCGCAGGATGGGGCAGTAGGTCAAATCTGCCTGGAACCCCGTCGGAACGGCCAACTTGGCTTCAAGAAGTGCCCAGGGCAAACGCTTGCCCTAGCTCAAATGAGGCTGTTGCGTCTTGGACTAGCCTTCCGGCGCGAGGGAATGCAAAAGAATAAGATGAGGAGGGGATAAAACCAACTGATGCTTAGAATGTGTGACGTATGTTGTCAACATGGCTCACCTCGAATATGTCCCGAGTTCTTGCGGCCAAGGGCTACTGCGCAGTTTGGTGGCTAAATGCAACAAGAACCGTGGAAAGCTCATTTTGCCCCCTCAACCCCCACCCTGCTGCAGAACAAGGAAAGGAGGAGAGAAAGAAATAACAGCGCACGCCCTCAAACCGAATATCCGCCAACCCCCCCCCCCTCCCCCAAGAGAAAACAGAAGCACATTTTGAAGGGGGTCCCCCGCCCCACTTTGACACGTCCGCTAAACCGATCCTCGAAGATCTTGGAACACAGCCGCGCCCCCGTGGCGCCGGTCTGCAGCTCAGCGGGCAGCGTGGCCGGAGACAGGTGCTGCCACCCGGGCACCAGACGGCCCCACGACACGCTGTCCACCCAGTTCCTCGGGAAGGACCCAAGGCCCAAGGGGAGCAGAAGCAACTATAAACACAACGATGTAAATCAACGAACACAAAACCCTACAATCAAACACCTCACCTTGAAATAAAGCTTTCACTCAAGCCTCTCAAGGGAAACCGACGTACTTACGTCGCACACGCTTGCAGGCTTGTAGGTGGTTAAGAAAAGAATTTTCGCCGCGCGCAAACTTTCCCACCCAGAAATGAAGGCCATTCCCACATCAACTAGATCGATCCCCAAGTGTTGACCACAACTTGCCATCTTGAATGATAAAACATGGAAAAATGTGCAATCCATCTATCCATCTACCCCTCTGTCTCATCCAATCTACCGTAAGCGCTACTTTACTCTAGTCTCTTCTATTTTTTGTGTTTGCACGCACCTGTGTAGCATGGACACGGGGCGCCTTAACCGGCACAAAACTCTCTCTCTCTCTCTCTGGCTCCCTCCCTCTCTCCCTCTCCTTGTCAAAGCATTTCACAGCTGAGTGCTAAAATGTTGGCTGCAACATTGAAAATTGAAGTCTCAAAAAGTGTTGCTTCTTCAATGTTCAACCCAACATGATTCCATGCGTTTTCCAGCACAGGGGCACGTGTTTGACCTTTGCAGTTGACAAATAAGAAATTGCCACTGTGGCAGGTTTGTGTAGGCAAGAAAACATTTGTATCGTAGGTGAGTGTGGGTGCACGTGTTCTGCCTGAAAATCTTAGCCGCACCGCCTGCTCAAGACATCACCTTTCTGTGATGCCAGCATGGTCCAATCCCCGTGCCCACTTTGTCACTGTTCGGTATTCGGTATGCCCAACTGGACGACCTAATGAAAGGCCCGCCGTCCCATGGCCCAAGGCTCCACATCACGGTGCCCAGGTTCCCGGGCACCTGGGTGCCCGCCTGCAGCGCCGGCGGCACATCCGTGGCATAGCTGGGCACCTGCCGCGCCACCGCGAAGTCCAGGCGCATGCCCGCGCTGAAGGCCTCGCTCGCGTTGCACACACCCCGCCCCCGGAATCAGGAAGGTCTCTTTATGTCTCTCACCACCTCCAAGAGCCTGAGAGAGTTCAAAGAAGGGCGCGAACCTTCTTAGAATTTAGAAGCTAGGGTTCTGAGAGGGGACCTTTCTGAGAAGCTGCCTGGCAGTTTCATCTTTCTCCTTAAAGCGGACGGACAGCCACGGATGTTTTCTTCTTCTTTTTTTTTGCGGGGCTCCGGATAACCAGAATTGGACCCGGCTCGCAAAGAATTTCTCAAGATTGTTCTCAAGCTCCTCTTCCGAAGCGGCCTTCCCCTGCATCAAAAAGGGTGCAGCATCTAGCACTAACTGAGGCAACCACGCCCCTGACACTTTCCAACCACTAGGCGGGCGATTGAAAAAGACATCCTCTTCACCATGGCTCGGGAGCGACTGACCGGCCTGCTCCGTCTGGTTGAAGGCCTCGATGTCCTGCTGGCCGAAGGTGAGGGGCACACAGAGCTCCAGACCGTTCTCCAGGGGCTCGGAGCTCTTCACGTGGACGCAGTCCCCGATGATCTGGCCAAACACCTCCGGTTCCGGATCTTAAGTGTTTGAAAGCTGATCCTCTTCTTCGCAATCTCAGGGGGAGTTTGAAATGGCAGAGCGGAAATTGAAGAAATGCTTCGCACAGCCACTAAACGTGCGCAGACCAAGAAAGGCAAGGTTTGACCTCGGAGTGCGTGTCTGTGGCGGATTGGGCCCGCCTCCCCCTGAAAATTGGCCACCACGTTGCGGCAGGAGGCATTGGCCAGATCGATGTCCCCCACAGTCAAATCGTAGCTCACATTTTGCCAGTAGTCCCCGGTCAAAACCTCGGCTACACCAGGGTCAAAGAAAATAGCACAACTCCCTTTGTGTGGGCAAGCAAAGGGGATGACAAACCGACTAAGCCAGTCTGAGGGAATGGTGACATCTACTGTACGCGCGCATTCTTGGCGTGACAAAATAATTTCTCCCAAAGCCGGCATCTCCGCCCTACCTCTCAAGCCCTCATCCCGGGGCAGAATCGCCCACTCACTGCCCCACTTCAACCTTCACCAACCTCCCACGATTGTTTGAAGCAAACCAAGCAAACCCCCACAAACCTCGCCCAAGGCACGTAGAGGCTGCTCCATGGCAGGCCGGTGGACCCGTCCGCCGCCCGCGCCAACTCCTCCGCCGCACGCTGCCGCTCCTGTCGTCAGTGAAGCCGGATCCTCCCTTTAAGCATAGCCAAACCTGGCTCCGACGGCTAGGTTTCGTCGCCTGTAGGCCTACAAGCCCGAAAAGCACATAGAAATGGGCCTGCTTTTGCTGCTCGCAAAGAACGCCAAGGAAGTGAACCAATTGACATACCTGTTTGTGGTCAAATGCTTCTGCTGGGTGTTTTGTGGGGACGAAGAGCATGAAAACCCCACAGCTGACGCGCAGCCCAGTCCTGGCGCCGACTCTCCTCCGTGGCTGCAAGCTTCGCCGCCAGGTCCGCCGCCGCCTCGGCCTCCGCCTGCGAGCGAGACATCGGCACGAAGGGGGAAGCAAGGGAGGCATGTGGACAGGCGGCCACTTCTCAACATGATGGTCTTGAAAAACTCTGTCAGCTTCCATGATTGAAGAAGCTCAAGAACAGGGGAAATGTGGTTGCCTATGCAAGAACTGCGTACAGGTTCCCCTGACGGGGAAAGCATGCTTGTTCAGTACGAGTGTGCCCTGTTGCCTTTGTCTGCGGGATGCAGCCGCGGGGACACGAGATTGCTGCAAAGCTTGTGACCACAAATGGGCCAGGTGACATTGGATTGGGAACGACGCATCTCCACTTTGTGCCACAAGTCATGGGAATCTGGGGGTGGGCGGGGGGCATGAGGTTCCAACCGTCCAACCCTGCCTCTGGATCGATGTCCAGCTTGATCATCTCGTTGATGATCCAGGCTGGATAGCCACCCCTGATACCTCCAGCATCCACGGTCTCCATGCTCGCAGGAGACAAGCTGGTCGTGGTATCCTGAAAAACGAGGAAATCCAAAAGGTAGCTACGCACCAAGTTGGAGCGCCCGGGCATGGCAATCTGCGGGGCGGCCGCACCAAGGATATACTCAAAGGGCAGCACACTCACGTCATAGATCACAGCTGCGCCATTGTCCGCACCAGTTCTGGAGGTGGTGTACTCATGCCAGGACAGCCGCACATCCCCGACAGACCCCTGGCTGATGAGGCCCGAAGTTGCAAGGATTTGGCCTAGCTCAATCTGCGCTGAGGGAAGCTGCATCAAAGGCGGGCCAGCCAGCTTGTCCTCGAGAGTCTCCTGCCAGGTCACAGAAACTGCCCGCAAAAAATGTACGCGTGCGCGGTTGCGTGTGCGTGGGCCTGGGCAGGCTGGTGTGCATCAGTACACGCGTACCTGCATGCAGCCTCACTGTATAGCTGCAGCCCTGGCTTCAGGCCCTGCAATACACACCGCAAGGCCCATCGTGTTTCTGTGTGGGGGCCTCCCTCCCTACACGGTCCTCCCGCTGCACCGAGGCATCCATGACCTCCGACTCGCTGCCGCAGGCCGCAGCGAACATTTCCAGGGAGGTCATAAGAGGCTCAACCATACCCACGGCGGCATTCAGGCGCTGTTGGCCCAGCCGCGCCTGAACGGACAGGGCAACAGTCGTGGATAATATGGTGGCTGAAATGGGCCATGGCCGAACCAGATTAAGCAAGAGGATCATCACCTCGTCTTGTCAGCCTCTTTTGCATTGGTGGCCAAGGGGTCATTCAAATTTCAATATCCAAATATCACTACACCTGCTGAACAGCCGGCCGGTGGCCCCACACAGTGGGTGAGCACAAGTTCAAAAGGGCGTTTTGACTGATTAGACATGATTAGGGGGACCGCCTCTGGACCATTTCCGAATGAACCCAAAAATGATTATGACACATGATCATGCCGAGAAGTATGCTGATGACAATTTGCCAGTGGTGTGCAGATTCTCCGGGTTCAGATGATGCGCCCAGAGCAAGGGGGAGGCGGGGGCTTGAGGGACAAAGGAGATTTCGTGACCAGGCTCAATCAAGAATAGCGGTCCCGAGTCCAATCAGGAACCGCAATACGCAACCCAGAAGGCGACCCTCGGAAGCTGACCGTAGTCGCCTGTTGGCTAATGCCATGGGATGGGATCCACGAAAGTCCTTTTCCGAGGAAGATGGAGCAAACCAGGAATCTCCCTGCGTGAGGTTCCACAAGAACTGAACTGAACTTTGCCACAAAGCATGTCACATTTGCCGCTTCGCTGTTCATCTGTACAATCTAAACGTGCACTGGCTCTTTCCCAGCCACGCTGTGAGGACTGCTCCCTTCACCCTGGGCCGGGCCTCCAGCGCATTCTCAAACAGCCGCCGCAAAATGTCGATGTCTGCCACTTGGGCCCAGCGATTGATGGGTCCCCACTCGCGCGTGTACCACGCGCGACGGGGGGGCTCCATGTCTCCTTGGACGTCTGGTACTTGCAAAGCACTTTTTCTTGAGTCCTTTGAATGTTGCAAGTGAAAGGGCACGTGTCTGTATTTACAGTCGGTTCACCCGTGTTCGGTCACGAGCTGCAATGCCAAACTCAGACAAAGCTGCAAGCCCGAGATGGGCCAAAACGGCAAGCATATCTTGCGGCTGAGCCTCCGCGCTTCCAGACTCCTGAGGTCCATCGGAACACCTCCAGCCACTCCCCGCCGCACAAGGCACACTCCGCCTGCCTGGCCGCAGCCTCTGGCTCCTGGGGAGCGGATGGAGCGGTGTCAAGGACCACATGTCCCTCTACAGTTGGGCCCGTGGGGCTGCGTCCCAAAACCTTGGAATGTCCGAGCACGCGTCGGGGTGCATCCTGGAATACATGACAAAACACTGGATATGGAAAGCCACATCGGCAATGCCGGCGCGTTTTGGTTGACCATGGTGCCCCTGTGAAGGGCTAGGGTCTGGATGTTTCTCTGCTCCTCGGCGTTCACCACGTTGCTGGTGAAGAGCTCGCAACGGTCGCCACGCCGCAGCAGGCAGCAGGCCTTCCACTTGGAGCAGGAGGTGGGGGTCACGGAGCGCTCGATCCACACAGCCTGGAATCTAATGCATCAGATTTCTTTCACGAAGACTGGCAGAGTCTCAATGGTGCAGAAGGGTTCAAAAGATCTTCCTCCAAACAAAAGCGAGACGTCCAGGTGGCTTGCATTGCTCATACCACCGCTCACTGCCCAAAGAACGATTCATCGCCTTTTCTCTCTGAGACATGTATCAAACTTTGGCCCCTGCCCTCCGGTCGGCTTGAGCCGCGCCTTGAAGGGCGCGGACGGGCTCAGGCGCTCGCACTCCGTCTGGTTCAGCCGCCCCGCGCCTCGAAGCCGCGCCCGGATCCGGTCGTGGTCCTCCGTCTCGGCCGCCAGCTGCGCCTCCTGCAGCGACACCGCCCAGGCCGCGGCATCCTCGACGGGCCGCGAAGTGGAGCTGAGCTGGGGGTGCACCCTGCTAAAATGGAACCCAAAAGGTCCCCAGAAAGGAGATTCCATGAGGAGTTTCGAGGTTCCATGTCTATCCGGGGTAAAGATGACAAACGTTCCGGCACGACAAGCACCTGGAACATCATTGGCCCTTTTTGAGACTGACGCTTGGGAGATCAACAACTGGGTCACTTGAAGGATTAATCCCAACACCGACTTCTTCTTACGGGGATCCTGTAAAATGAGCTGGTAAAGTGCGATTGTGTAACTGGCCCAAATGCATCATTGAAGGGACGCTGAACAGTTCTAACAATATGAGTCCGCACGTCAAAACTGTCCACCAGCCGGTTTCTGCTGGCGCCTCCAGCTGGGTACCCTCCACGTCAAGGGTCTGCCCAGAAAGGTCCATGAGACCGTGGCGCTTCCGGACCTCCAAGATTTGGCCGCCGCCACTGCTCTAAACATGCTGAAGGCAACGTTGTGTGAACTATGTCGGTCCAACCAAACCAGGCAGCAAAAAGCAACTCAGATTTAAGTTGGACCACTTGCAGCCTGCCTCCATCCCAAAGGGCGGGTCCAGGCGAAAGAAGCAAGAGCCATCTGGGAAGGAGCTGCCACCTCCGATGACGCAGCCCTGCTGGATCAGGTTGTCATCCAAAGGCGTCACAACGCAGGTGCCCGGGGAAGCCAGGTTCAGGCCTCAGCAACCGGCCAAGCGGCCAAGCGGCCAAGCGGCCAAGCGGCCAAGCGGCCAAGCGACCAAGCGGCCAAGCGGCCAAGCAAAGAAATCCACGGCTTTTCCTTTCGCTACTTTGAGCTCACCAACTTAAGGAACACAGCCACTGCGCAGCCGGGAGGCCGATGTCGGCATCGCTGCAGTGGCCGGACAAGGTGCACTGGTCCTCCGTCTGGCAGGGGCGCACGCTCTGGTGGCAGCCCATCAAGACGGCCAGTGGGTCTCCCTCGCAATGATCCTCGTCAAAGTTCTCGCACCTCTTCACGAAATAGCCAGGGCCCATGCAGTACAGGATGGGTCGGTGCCGCAAGGCGCACACCCTTCGGAAGCGCCTCACCCCCATCTTCCTCACTTGCAGGGACATGGGACAAAGGTGATCGGATGACCTTGTAGGCGAATCACATTTCGAGCACCAAAAACTGAGAAGCCTACCATGAGGGGCGTCTCGAATGTGAGAACCACCCCTTTCCCCCGCGTTATCAAGACTTCAGCTCAGCTTCTCATCAAAGAGGTCGCCTTCCACCACCATGCCCCCCAGCCGGGCACAGTCCGCCACATCCTCCGAGACGCAGAGCCCGTTGTCCTGGGTGGCCAGAGCCGGGGAGGCGCAGAACGTGCAGTCGGCGGTGCAGCCGTAGGTCAGACGGCAGGTGAGCTCGTCCAGGATCAGCTCGTCCACGTCGCAGCGCTGAATCTGCGTGTTGTTTTCGCAACATTGCTGCCTTTTACACACCAAAAAATGCCGCAAAACTAAAACTGTAGGTCACTGTAGGTCAGACGGGCGAAAGCTGACCATGGGCTATTTAGTTTACCCTCGCACCTCGCAGCTGATCTGGTCGTGCAGAATCTCCGGTCGCCAAAGCGTCTGCTGGCTGAATTTGGTCAGGTCATCTGTGGGGCCCTGGGGCGCTGATGTGCCCAAACCCTCGAGCCCCCGAACCCGCCGCCTTCCCCCCCCCCAGTCTGTAGCCGGTAGCCAGTAGCCCCCGCGCCTTACACTCCAGCTGGCTCAGCATGTTCATCCACTCCTGCAGGGGCACCAATGGAAACGATGCGTGAAGGTAAAGGACAAACACCTCATCTCCACACTTGAAATGTACCGATACCCTGGTTGGTGCATACACTGGTCGGGACATCGGCCATCATGAATCCCACAGTGGCCCCCAACGCTCCTGAATCTTCGTCTGGAAGTTTGCTGACAATTCAATCGCCACGCCGCTTCTCGCCAGAAGGCCGCGCAGGACACTGCTGATGTCAGTGCTGGTATCCAGGTTTATCCTCCCCACAGTCCTGCTCATGTGGCGTGCAGCAAAAACGGCTTCCGAAGTCATTTCCCCCGATTCAAGCAAGAACCATTGATATGTATGTATATACATATATATATATATATGTGTGTGTGTGTGTATTATTGACGCAACAGCACGGCGCAGCCACGTATAGTCAGAAACTCTCTGATACATCACTGACTCCCTAAACACATGCCCTTCTCTAGCATCCAAAAGAATGCAATGATGACCTCCTGGCCGTTTTGGTGGCCGGTCCTGTCAATGGCCAGGAGCGCATCCCCGTCCTCAAAGAGCGCGCTGAGGAAGGCCTTTTCAAGGGGGGTGAAATCGACTCAGCCAAGTGCAATGGGCAGTGGGCTGGGAAGGGGGAACTCAGAATGAAGGCTCGGAAATGCCCAAAGGATCCTAAAGGCTGGCTTAAAGCTTTCTGCGGCTATGTTTGAGCGGGTTGGCCCCAACCCCGCCTTGGGCCACCCCAAGGCCTGCAGTGAGGGCCGCTCGAAGGCGTCCACCTCCCCGGTCCGCGGCGGCAGGAGCGGCGGGGGGTACAGACGCCGGCTGGGGCCCCCGAACCTTAGAGGACATCAACCCCATGCCTGCGCAAGCGGAAAGTAGGGCCAAGGGAAAACACGAGAAACAAGCTGAGAAAGAGTGGAAAGTGTGGAAGCCACGTAGTTCAACTTGGGATCAAAGTGCAACCTCTGGCCAAATCCGGATGAGGCTCATCTCCCGGGGGTCCGGCATCCGGTAGGAGCACATGCCAAAACCCCGGTTCCCGAAGAAGTCCACCCGGATAGAGGCGCCATGCGTGAACAGATCCTCAGAGATTCGGAAACCAAAGCTTTTCCAGCGCCCACATCTGAACTTGGGCCGAACTACGAAAATCTCAAAATGAAATGGGGGCCAAAGAGCACCCAAGAAAACAAAACCGACAGAAGGTGGCCAATGCCTCACGCAAGTTGGCCACCACTGGGGAAAGGAAACACGTTCCGAAGCCCGAATGTTTGGGGGTCCCTTCAAAAGAAAAATCCAAACACCCTGGTTTACAAAATGCGCATCAGCTGGCCCAGTCCGAAAGGGCCCCTCAACGGGCCCCAAATACATCCATGGGTCCCTGGTCAAGACCGTGGGGTCCATCTCCTGGTTCCGATCCAAGACCGCCAGCTGCCGGGCCCGTTCCGTGGCGTTGTCTTGAACCCGGCGCCCGCCCGGGGCGATGGACATCTCGAAGTCCTAGCGCGCTCTCGAAAGGAGGTCACCTGGAAACCTCGTAGACTCGTTGCGCCCTTGAACCCCTTTCCATTTAGGCGCGTGCCACACATTATACAGCTCCAAAGCTTGAGGTTGTGGCCCCAACGAAAGTGGAGATGGCTCGTGGTTCGGGCAAGAGCGCCGGTGCTAACAGCCCCATGTTTCCATTCCAAAGGTCCTCCAAATACGGCAAGGTCCCCGTGTCGTAGGCCCGCTGCAGGCAGAGGCCGAAGATCCGCTCGTCATCCGCCACGTTGGTGGCCCTGCCCGGGTCGTAGACCGTCGCCTGCTTTTTCCCGAATCAGAAAGCATCCCTCCCATGTTTCAGACGCTCCGGTTTCGCAATTGGTCGGAAGGAAACTGGATTGATTGGTCGGTCAATGCGACGAAACACGTCATGGTGGCCTGCAGCTTCCGCGCGCAAATGTTGCTGTTCAGCTGGCAGAGGTGGACGCCCCGCTGGAACCACGGAGGGCTCTCCCAGCGCGCGCGGCCCGGCCACACAGCCTGGCACGTGCCCTCGTTGTTCACCAGGTTATTCAGCACCTGGCTCAATGCGGCGGGATGGGATGCTGGATGAAGCAGCCCGACCGATTATGGGATCATTATCGTGCCTGGATTGCCGACAGCTTCTGAGCAACGCCTGGTGTCAAACGCATGATAAACCTCCGGCTTTTGCCCAAAGCCCACCTCGGGCTTCACAAGAGCCTCACCCCCGCCACAAATGCAGCAGGCGGTGTGGGCGTCCACTCCCCCCACCCCTTGCGTGAAAGGGCCCCACGTCAAGTCCCAGCCGGGCCCGTAGCCAGTGCGGTTGCACCACTTCAAGGACTCGTAGGTGGCACAGGGGTGGCCACCAGCATCCATCCAGTCAAAGGGCCGGTCGCTGCAATCCACTCCGCCCCCGCAATCGCAGCAAACGTCAGCGGCCGCGAGCCCGCTGGAGGAGAAGTCGGCAAAGGTGCGCGGGGGGTTGTAGACCCAGTTGGTGCCATAAAGCCCTTGCAAGGTGCACAAGCTGTCAATGACGTAGGCCGAGCAAGTCCTGCCCACACTATCCACCCAGCCATGCACCATGTCGGAGCACCCGGACACCTCCGTGGTGGTGCAATCAAACCCCCCCTCCGTTTTGACCTTGGCGTTGCAGTAGTCGTTGCAGCAGGCCACGCAGAAGTCGCACACGTCGCGGATGCGTGCAGAGCTACCCTGGGTGCAGTTGGGGGCGATGACGCCCGCATAGACCTTCAGGAAGCTGCTCAGAGGAGCATCCAGCACCCCGGGCACCACCTGAGTCCGCCAGGGGAAAAACAGTGTCAGTCAAAAATCGCGTGAAGTTTGGAAACACTGCATGGCTGGAATCCCTCCTTTCTTCGGCAGCCTGTGTAAGCGAGTGTTTTGACTTCCCCGCCTCGGGTGGCAGACGGCCCTCCACGGGCAACACGTCAAAGGCCTGGCACTTGCTGCTGCAGTCGCAGTTGCATTGGTCGCAGGTTTTGGGACGACAAGGCTGCCAAAAGATGAAGCGATCCCGGCCCACGATACGCTGCAACGGGCAACCGGTATTGAAGTAGGCAGCATCCACCTCGCACCACCGCATGTCTCTGGCTTGGTCGAAGTAGCAGTCGTTGATGCTCTGCTCCACTGGAGCGCCAGAGTACTGATACCGTACGCTCCACTCATCTTTGCATGGGCACTGGATCTGCCCCGTGGGGCACACCCCATCGATGCTGTCCTGCAGCCGCACGCACGCGTCGATCTTGCCGCAGCCCCCCATGCGGTGGGTTGGGCAGGGGTCGCAGAGCCCCGGGGGAGGGTTCCCACCATAGGCCAAAGCGCAGGTCTCACAGCTGAAGCAGTAGTGCTCCGGCGGGCACTGTGCGTGAGAGGCGCAACCCTGGCCCACCGGATGGCAGCCTGGCATGAGGTCATCTCACGTTTCCCTCCTATCCGCCCAAGTGCCGCTGACTCATCCACCCCATTCCGGATGTTTGCCCCCCAAATGCTCAATGGAGTGGTACAAGGACATGTTTCCTTAAGGGTAGGGAATAGAGAAAAAATGCATCTAGGTCCAGCGCTAAAGAATACCAAACCAATCCCAAACAGCACGAGCCAGAACAAAAGAATACTAAACCAATAGCAAACCAACCCAAACCAAGCCAATACAAACAGCACCTGCTGGAAGACTGCTCAGGAAGGCCCCAGTCTGACGCCCATTTTGTTGTGTTTAGGCTCTCTGTTGACCCCCCCCGCCATTTTGTTTGGGGGGCCCTTTACTAATCATCCCCCGACATTAGCATGGAACCTGAAACCCGCCCATTCGTGGAGAACTGGAGTTTCGGGAAGCCCGTGGCACCAACCGGCCCACGCCTGCTCCAGTGAGACTCCGCAGCCAGGCCCAGGCCACCTGCCGGTAGTAGATGTCCCCGTCCTCCCAGTCCACACGCGCCAGGTCGGACCCCAGGTCCTTCAGAAACGGTCAGCCCGACGCAAAACTGGGGGAGGTGGCCTTGTTGGCACCAGGAAAAATCACGGGAACCGGCAAAAGTCTCACCAAATCTGGAACCGCCCATTCTTTCCTGAGGGATCGAACTCACAGCACCAGAAAGAAAGCACCAAAAACCGGAGATCCCGTGTCTCTGCGTGGGCATCACGCCTCCGCCAGGACCGCAGGGTAAGCCCGCAAGTTCGGGGCCCACAGCGCCATCACCTTCTGCCCCACGAGGCACGTGGTGGTGTTGGCGTCCACGCAGAAGCGGCAGGAGCCGGTGGTCAAATTGCCCGGGGAGAAGCAGCAGGTGTAATCCAACTTGGCCCTGCAGCTCTGGGGCTGGGGAAAGGCAAACTCAGACACTCCTTGCCCCGAACAAAACTTCTCTTATCGAGCACAAGCTTGAAATGATCGGGCTCGAACGGCAAGAAACGACAACCCAGCCACGCCCCAAACACCCCAAACACCCCAAACACCCCAAAGACCCCAAAGACCCCAAAAACCCCAAAGACCCCAAAGACCCCAAAGACCCCGAACACCCCAAACACCCCAAACACCCCAAACACCCCAAACACCCCAAACACCCCAAAGACCCCAAAGACCCCAAAGACCCCAAAGACCCCGAACACCCCAAACACCCCAAACACACCAAACACCCCAAACACCCCAAACACCCCAAACACCCCAAACACCCCAAACACACCAACCCCAAAGACCCCAAAGACCCCAAAGACCCCAAAGACCCCAAAGACACCAAACACCCCAAAGACCCCAAAGACCCCAAACACCCCAAACACCCCAAACACCCCAAACACCCCAAACACCCCAAACACCCCAAACTACTCCAAGCTCCAACTCCGCATTTTCCCCTGGCGTCGCCTGCAGGCAATGGAGGACTCCGGGGTCAGCTCCAGGGGGCCCATGTCGCAGCCCAGGAACCGCGGCGGCTCCGCGGTGGAGAAGACCTGGCGTCCACAGAAGAAGGCAATGAAAGTGACATCCTTAAATTGCACTTCACATGATGGCTAGCCAAGTAAGTTTGAGAACCCCTCAACATGTTCACCTGGCCGTTTGGGGCTGAGTTGTTTTGCCGGAGGGGGATGGAGAGATTCCCAATATCAGTCGTCCAATGCCAGTTCAGAGGCCCCCTCAGTTTGGGATAGAGGGGGGACCCCCAACTTTTGGAGAGTTTGAATAAGGGGAACCAGAGGAAAGCCACCCATTTTTAGGAAACACACCCCTGAGACTGCCAGTCCAACCTCGTAACCAGCAACCCTTTTTGGGATGGCCTTCACATGTGAAATGAGGTCCACCAAGGACCCAAAAGGAGGCACCTTCAAATTGGCATGACCGTCTCAGTTTTCGTGGCACCCCCCCGGTTCGCGATCCAGCGCCGCCTCCTCCTCTCGGCGGCTGCCCTCCGTGCGCCGAAGCTCGCGGTCTGCCGCGGCGCTCTCCTGCAGCTCGTGGGACGTTGGGTGCGCTTTCCTTTGCCCCCCCCCCCCCGGCCTTCCCCCCCGCCTTGGCTGTCTTTGGTTCCGGTTTTTGAAGGGAGGCCAAGAGAGACTTCCAGCCCAAACACAAAGAAGGCTGGTCCAAAGTCCCACTGCTTAAAGGTGAAGTAATGCGGATGTTTGAACCGTGATTTGTTCAACCTGAAGGGATGCCCAACAGATAGATGTTTCAACAACCGTGGTTTCAAGCTTCCATGCTAAAACGAGTGGTTTGCCCAACTTGGATGGAGGTCTTGAGGGTGTCTTTTGTTGAGGGTACCCCTGTTTCGGTTGGTTTAAAGGGAGACCAGTTTGTGCAAGGGGAAACTCGCCATTTGGGGGTTCAAGTCCCTTTGAGACTAATCCACTCCTGCGACACGCGGTACAGAAGTCGAGCCGTCTCTGCGGCCAGGGACCTGGGAGGATGGGCCTGCTCCAGCTCCTGCAAGGGCCGTTCCCTCCTCTGCCACCTCCCTCCCCCCCAGTGAATGACGGTGAATGACAGTGTTGTTTCAGTGGAGCGCTGCGGAAAACTGAAAGCATCGGGCTACGGAAATCGGGGTCCCACAGCAAGCCATCGCTGTTTGTCCTGGAAATCCGTTGAGTCTCATTGAAATAGGACTCTGGGCCCCACTTGTGCAGACTGAGCAAAAGAAGCTCCCCCTAAAATATTTTTTCAGGCACATCTTTTCGCCCGGGTTTGGACTGACCCCCCCCAGAGACACACAAAGAGTTTTCAAGGAAGGCTAGTTGGAATCCTCCGGTCTACCCAAACGAGAGTTCTGCACGGGAAATCAGGCATGCGACACAAACAGAGGCCAATCTGGCACGTGTGCTTTCCAGGCAAAAACCCGTGGCTAACACTTGCAAGTTGTGAAGACCATCCCCCTTGAGAAAATAATAAAGCCTCTACAAAGCGATAGACCTTCCCTAAGAGCAGGCCGTTTTCGGGGTTAGCCTTCCGTCGGCTTCGGCTCCAAAAGCCCTCGGATCCACCGGACTCCCCGCCTGCCAGAGGCGGATGGAGCAGTACCTGGGCCGGCGCTCGATGGGCAGCTCCATGCGCAGCGACCCGGCCCAGTTGGCGTCCACGTCCTCGGCGCCCAGGGGCGGGCTGTAGTGGACCTTGGCGTCCCCGGGCTTCAAGTAGCAGTCCTCAGGGAAGTCGACAGGGAGTGAGGCCGCATATTTGCCATAATGCACATCCGTGCGGTTCAAGATGTGCATCGCTGGACGATTTGAGCTGACAAATGCTGATAAGTATTGCGTGAGAAGACAATGTCGAAGACGACCTGGGGTGCCCGATAGACTCTGGGCTCTCTCTATGGCAGCCTGTTCTTGAGTGTCCAGACCTGTTGAAGTGTACCGACCTGTGCCGCTCATGGAACTGAAGCGTGCAAACGGATACCGACAATGAAGTAAGCTTGGGTAGGCCTCACTGTGCTCTCCATCAAGGCGAATAGTTGGAACCCCCTATTCAGATCGAATGACCAACGAAGGCTTTGGGCGATGCTCATGCGCGTCTGGGAATGTGTCAAGTTCGAGTATGCTTCCAGACTGATCTGTGAGTGTCATGTTGGTGTGCGTCCAACGGCGAAAGTACACCCAGTGACACGTCTCTCATGGCAGGCTACCAAAACCAAAGCACGGGGCAGCGAATGGCATCTGCTCTGCAAGAATGAGTGATGCCATGCCAGCGCGTGCAGCGGACAAATCTAATGGCAATTGGGCCTGATGAACCTTGCCACCCACGGTACAAATCTCAAGCAACCCAAAATGGTTCTATATGCGTACTGAGTGCCTGTGCATGCGAAACCCTTTTAAGAAAGAATTGTGTTACATTTACTCTGTGAATTCACAACAAAGAATCTACGGCAAAAACGCCAAGGCTGAGCCTGGCAACTCTGACCTCCCAACCATCTCCTGGTCGGTCTCGTTGTCCCAGAGCTCGTGGAAGCAAACTGGGCGGTTGATGTCTGGGTTGGGGCCGCTGGGCATGACGCAGCTGTCGTAGCAGCCCTGGAACTCCCGCCGCATGTTGTCGTTGCACTTCCTAGGGTTCAGGAATTGGGCCCAAGAACAAGCAAGCACCAGCTAAAGGAGGTCCTCAACAAATTACTTTCATGGGTGCTTTCTGGGATCCACGCCAGTTTTCGAAGCATGTCGAGTGGAGCGCAGATTGGTCGTTTGCAGAGTGGTGACGCAACTTGGGGAAATGGTGCTGCGAGGCGTCTCGTCCGCCAGGAAGAACACGTCCCGGGGGAAGCAAGGAGTCGAGACGCAGTATCGGTACATGAAACTATGCACGTCGGCCAAGTCCCGGCACCTCTTCAACTGAGTCGCCTGGGCCACCAGTGAGGTCAGAACTCAATGAAGCGGAATGGGAAAGGCAAGATCAACAAAACGGCTCAAACAATCCGAAGAGAAAAAGTGTCTTAACAAAAGGAGCCATTTGGGTGGTGCGAGCCGGGCATGGGGATTCCCTCTTGGAAACGCAAGATCAGACTGTTGAAGGGGAGCGAGGCGCCGTGGTGGCGATGATGGCGCAGGCCAGCTCCAGGGGCCTCAGCATCTCCCGGGCGTCATAGCAGTAGTCCGTATACACCTGCCATGGCAAAGGACACACCGAGGAAGAGCAACTTGCTACGGAATCCCCGAAAGCTGGGGCCCAATCCTGTCGGGGACCCTGGTGGAAACCGAGGACGTGCATTGCTATCCGGGCAAAATTGTAGAATTCCCCCCAACCGGACATAAGAGAAGCCTCCCTTTTATGGAACTCCATGACATGATAATGTTTCCGCTCGCCTGCCCGGTGACGCAGCCGGAGCGCCGGCTCTGCTGGGGGCACACCGCCTCCTGACACCCGCAGAACTCGTTGTTCTGGAACCTGCAAACGGCTTCCCGGGAATCAAGAGTTTGGGTTGGACGTCTCTTAGGTTACTTGGGTGCCTCCCTTCGGGGAAGGCCAGCGGCTCCAACCAGAAGACCAGCCCCTGTTCTCGGGAGACGGACTTAGTGGAACAAGGGGAGAAAAATGCTGGCCAGGGAACTGATCCTCTATGCACTCCTCTCTTGTCCGGATCTCGTGGTGCCAGTTGCAGCCCTCAAAGCTCAGGCACTGCTCCTCAGCCCATGGCTGTTGCGAGTTCATGTACAATTTGGGAAGGATAACCTACCATGTCTCAAAGACCTAGCCTGACGATTCTCAGTTCAGACCCTGCTCGCAAGTAGCCCGGGGCGCTGACAAAATGAACGGACTCTAGAAACTGAAGCCCGGCTGCTGTAAACATCCATGCGCCCTGCCCTGAGCATTTGCCCGGTCCTGGGTGACGGCCACCCCAGGAGTAGCGTATGGCCCCACACAGGTGTATGTCATGTGGGCGCTCGCAGACAAGGAGGACACGATTTCAGCCTCCACGCCCAAATGCTGGAATCCCCCAATGAGTGAGTCCCGAATCCCTCCCTTTGTGGCAGGGCCCCGGCCAAATCGGGGTGAAACCAACCTTCAACAGTGTTGGAAACCCAAAAAAACAAAAACACTGCTTTAGCCCTCGAAAGAGAGGGCCTCGTTGCGGTTGGGGATGTCCAGCCCCAGCTCCGCCGCCAGCATCTCCACCACCTCCTTGCCCATGCGCCTAGCCAGGCACCTCGGGAGCTGAATGGGTGTTTTCTTCATGGCCCCCTTTTTCAGGTTGCGAACTAAAAGGAGGCCAAAAAGGGGACAACCACTTCTCGGGTTGGCATAGTTGGGCGCATACCCCAATCAGCCCATGGGTTATGAGATGTGCAAAATGAAGCAGGCGTTCGAAGTTCAAAGGCCCGTTTGGTGGTGTTTTCAAACAACTCGAGCGCCTCACGATGTAGAGATGGCGGCTTTCTGAGGGAACCGTGCACCGGCCCAAGATCAGCGTCTTGATTCTGGAGCCCTCGTTCAGAGCCACCTTCACCTGTGGCTGTGAGACACTTCCATGAGACCATGGCCATGGCCTGGCCGTGAGATCGCGATGCTTCTGGGGCCCCGCCTGCAGGCTCTCCAGCACAGGCTTGCGGCACTGGGTGAAGCAATCCCCGTCCACCAGGCAGGGGGAACCCACCTGGGTGGCTCAAGGGCTAAGAGGTGTTGCACAACGCCCAGAGACAAGACTCCGGCAAAAAGCAAAAGGCAGCCTTCTCCGGGCTGATTGAGGGAGCAGGGTTCTGGGGGCTCCTTTTAGTCATCGGACCCAGGCACGTATATGCCCAGATCCCGGTCGAAGCGGCCCATGACATCCCCGTGGCACTGCTCGATGGACCGCCACATAGCAGCATTGGCCTGCTCCTGCAGGTGTAGGATGAGGAACTACCTTCTGGATGTTTCTGCACCGGAGGCACCCAGGTGAGGTTCGAACCGAAAGAGAAGGGGGCAATCCCAAGTCAGAACCAGCAAAGAAAAAACAATGTGCCCAAAGGAAGACCTGGCTCCATCTCGAAATCCTTTGCCCAGACCTACCCCGGCCACCGCCTCCAGGCCCAGCTTCTGCCAGCTGAGCTGCGTCCCCGAGGGCTCCGTGAGCCGCCGCTTCCAGCTGAGCGCCGCGGCGATCGCCGCCTTGGCGAAGCTCGCCTAGGTCCGCATGGCTCAGGGAATCGAGGAACCACCCCGACCAAAGTCATTTTTTGGTGTCGTTTGAGGAGATCCCAAACGGTTCAGTCCCCACATCGCTTGAAAGTCCCGACTGTAACTTGGGTCCTGGCTGCGGGGCCCTGGAAAACTGCTCTCCTCTGAAGGAACCCCTCTGGGCAGGAGGGCAACTTCAACCCAGATTCAAGAACCGGTAGATTTGCTTTCTATCTCTCTCTCTCTCTCTCTCCCTTAGGCGCTTCACCTCTAATGATTGACCAGGGCTTTAGTCGCGTCCCAGAAGAAGAGTCGTTTTCTTGCATGCCTGCTTCGTGGAGGGAGCGGGTTCGCAATGCTCCATGGGTCGATGGCCCAAACTCTATGCCCATGCGCTGGCCCGTTGGTACGGCGCCCAGTTGACCATCTCACCAAAAGCATCCAGCTTGGGGCATCTGAAAAGACCAAGTGGCAGAAACTACATGGAGGATAACCAAACACTTCAGGGGTCCTCCCTCCAACACCTGGCTTTCTTCTTTCCATTGCATCCCGTCTGCGACCCCCCCCCCCGCCTCTAACTGCAACCCATAACTTTGACCGTTTCCTTGAAGTGATCAAAGTCTGTCAAGGTTGGTTCCTTCCCTATCCACGTACCACTTAGGCGACTAGGCCGAGTCGCCTGGCCCGCGGCGTCCTTGCGGCAGCTCTGCGCCAGGCCCTCATAGTCCACCGAGGCCAGGACGGGCTGCTCGATGAGGTTCTGCCGCTTGGCGCAGCACTGCCACCTAGGCTGACCCGGACCCCCGAAACAAAGCCCTTCATGCCCCTCAGACCAACCACAGCAGCCGGGGATCGCTAAAAAACACCTCCAGCTGCAACCAACTTGGTTTTTTGAGGCAATGTCTGCGCGCCTTCTGTAACGCAGATTTGGCTCACAGGAGTCATCTTTCAGACGACTTGGAGTTTGCCAATTTCACACTGACGATTCGATTATATTTGCAGTGATTCTTTCATCCGCCACCCTGCCAACGGTTTTGGGGCAAGCAAACTGGGACAAATTCACAGTCACAGTCACAGTTGTTTCTGGATTATGCCACCGAGGCGCCGTAGCCTCTGCAGGTTGCAACAAGGGTCGAAAAAGAAGGCGTTGTCCTCAGGGCAAAAGAACCAAGAAACAAGATTTAAAAAAAAAGCTGCCAGTCAACAGAACAGGGGTTCCTGTCTGGGCCCAACCAATGGGGTTCAACCGAGCCTTTTCAAGCAAGCTGTCTCAAGTCCTCAGGGTCCCTTGTACAGCTCTGCGAGTCCACCAGCACGCTGCGCGTCTGAAACCTCAGGCTGTGCTCCATGATGGTCCAGCACCCGTTGACCGCGTCCGTCGCCGTGTATGCTACGGAGCGCTCCCGCATGTTATGCGCACGCAGCCGCAGCTGCCAGCGGTACACGTTGCAGGGCATGCCATCCTCCATCCTGGGATCCACAAAGTCCCGGCGATACGCCAAAACCCCCACCTTGCGGTGGCGCTGGTCCAGCGTGTCCGTGTACGGGGAGTATTGATACGACTGGTTCTGCCCCGTCTCAACTCCCCACACGTAGCCTTGCCCCGACGTCCCTCCAGGCCCTCCACTCCCTCGGGCCGGAAACGTCGTCCGCCAGTCCGACACGCAGTGACCCGTCTGACGGCCTGCGGTTTTCACCTTCTCCATGACCGCCTGCATCCAAGATTCAAAGATGGCATGGGGCTCTGGCCACTTGATTTCCACATTGGATTCAGGGCTGCTAAGTCCCACTTTGCGAGGCCAAGGGACTGAATCTCGCACAAAGTTCAAAGAAAGACAGGGCACACGTAAGTACTCTCACCTCAGCCCCAGTCCGTGGGGCCTTCATCTGCCGGTGCACTGCGTCCACCTCCTCTGTCTTGCAGGGCCACCTCTTCTCCTCGATCGCCCCGATGCTCGGCACGCTCTCTGCCGGCTCTCCGTTGGGACCCACCAGGAAGGGCAGCTCCAGGCGGCATGGGGCCAGCTCCTCCAGGCTCAAATCAAAAAGAGTCAGCGGGGCTGTCGCTTGTTAAGCGTCAATCCGTTTGGTGCTTACACCCCTGGATTTAGTCTGGAGCCTCACCCGGTCGTTTTCGCCGCGGTTTCTCCTCCAAGGTCAGCCCCAGCTGGCGGGTGCGGCCGTTCCGCGTGCGCCGGAGCGGCAGCAGAAACACTGCCCGCCGGCTGCTGTAGGACTTGGAGGCGTTGCCCAGCAACCGGTCAATGTCCTGCAGGGACATAAGATGAAGAGAAGGCGGAGGGGCACCAAGCGGCCTGGCAGAACTCGCATCCTGGCACACCTCCCTGTCTTGAATGCTTTGGAATTTTAAAGAACATGGACACCCCAACCCCATTGGGCACATCGGCACAGGATGTGCCCAGGGCCCCAGTCCTCAACCCCAAAGGCCGTCTCCACTCTTCTGAGCCACAGCAGGGAGTTGTCCAGCGGCGGCCCGTTGAGACCGAAGCGCCGGATCCGCGCCAAGGCCGGGGTCATGTTCGCCTCGTTGGGGCACCTCAGACGGGGCCTGAGGTGGGGAGGTGGGGAAGTTTAGCCCCAATGAGCCATACAACCACGTGGGATATGAGGTGGAACTGTGCGGCAGGAATCGCAGGAATGAAGCCCTGTCAAGGGAGAAGAGTCCTCAAGAGTAGGGACCCCTCTAAATGGCAGCCGCATGCTGCTTTCTTCAAAGACCCCCCAACATGCTTGAGACACCAGTCTGTTGCACTAACTGTCACTAACTCGTCCCACACAGGCGAATCTCACATACGTCCACAAATTTTCCGCTTGAATCGAAATGCGCCCCAACAAATCTGCGTCGCTGGGGGCACAACTTTTGCCTAGTGAGTGGAACCTTCTCGCTCCCACTCGCTCCCCGCTCAAGGGCCAAGGCGCTTGATGTTGGCCAGCAGGGCGTCAAACTTCCAAATCGCCGCGCCGTACCTTGGCGGTGAAGCCAAGGAGCCTGCAACAAATACGAAGAAGGCCATCCTGACAGACTCCAATCTGGTGGATTCCTTTCACGGCACTGGGAAAGAAAAGATTTGCGGGCTCAATGAAAGGAAAGCAAGCCCATACCGGGTACTGACTTGGTCAAGAACCCCATTCAATCTCGACAGCCGCCAGGGTCCAAAACAAGAATTCAAAAGGCTTCAACAAGAAAAAAATCTCAACCAAAACGATTGAAGTCTTTTGTGATCTTGGCTCTCGAGGCACATCTCCCGCGAGTCCGCGACGCCGTGGATGAAGGCGGGCCTTCGGTCCGTGAGCGTGGCGAAGCCCTGGTCCCCCGGCCAGGCCTGGACCCTCAGCTGCATCTCCTGCGCCCAATGGGGACGCGAGACGCATCCCACCCAGCCGCCGTGGGCCCTTTTGTCCGACCAACAAAACCAGGGAAGTGGAAGTTGGCAGATTTGTGTCCCAACACACCGCCCCCCCCCTCCGACTTGAAGTTGTTGTCCCACGGAGTCTTAAAGTGTGTGTCCAAGGCTTGGATTTGGAGCAGGTCTGACAGATTTGAGGAGGACACAAAGATTGTGCCTATTTGATGCGAGGATCTTCGTCAGATTTGAGGACACATCTAACGATCCTCCTTTTCACAACCGCTTTCGCTTTCATATGTTGTCTGTGGTTCTATGATGTTCAGACACCAAACACCGCGGTTGTCCGCAGAATTAACGCCTCGTAGCTGATGCCACAAATGCACTCGGGCTCCGATTGCAGCTTCGGCAGCAAATCCTCGCGTGCGCCAAACAGCGCAGAAAGCATGTGTTTGTTTTGGATGGGGAGCCTGTAAGGTTGCTTGTACAGCCCAAAGGACAGGTCACCATTTTGCAAATTGCATTGTCAAGGTGCCAAGAAGACGGCCAAACTTGCGCCTCCAAGGCTGGGCAACAACAGCTGGAAACCCGTCAGGACGACAACTGCCGACAACACCCTCGTGAAAAATGGCAACTGACTGAGAAGGTTGAGCTTCCAAGGTCGAACCGGGACAGGCCACCAATGTTACAGGAAATTGGTATGGCTATGCTTCTCCTTCCACCCTCTTGCTTGATTGAAGGCAACACCCCGGATAACAACTGGGAGGACCACCGTTCCAAGATCACCAAGAGGCCAGGGGCACAAGGGAGCCTATCTTGACCGGGTGCCCACAGATCATTAACGTCCCGGCACAACAAACCAAGAAAAAGCTTCACGGGGGGAGGGGAGAACTCCAACCACTGCCGGGCCACCGGCACGTAGGGGAAGCGACTGAAGGCCGCGCTCAGCGTGCAAGCCGCTGGGCAGGAGGCGCAGCGCAGGGCCTCCGCCACGTACATGGCCTGGCGCTGTTGGCAGCTGTTCACGTAGACTGGGGCGGAGAAGTGGAGGTCCACCTCGATGTACTCCTCCAAGTTCTTCTTTTGGAAGGGTGACCATAAAACAAGAGGTGGTCGGTTCAGGTTGGTTGGCCGCTTGCTTGCGCTTGTTTGATAAGTTGCCTGGCTGCTTGGCTGCTTGGCTGTTTGGTTGCGTGGTTGCTTGCTTGCTTGGCTCATGTTGGTCGGTTGCATACTCCAGCAGTTTCCATGCACTACTAGCCGTGTACAACCACACTCATCCACCAGAAGCAAAGTCCTGGACCTCATCCGCCACCATGACCCGCCGCTCCGACCTGGTTGCCTGCAAGATCTTCAGGGTCGAATCCCCCCGCGCTGGCGCCCAAAGCGCCAGGCACACCAGGAACGCGGTCATGCCCGCACGCCCAGCCGGAAGCCGTGCTAGCCGGCACCGTGTGGCCACTCCATGACTAGGATAGAAAAGGGACCGAGGCTTGGCGAGTGCTTTCCGGAATTTCTGATTTGCATGAGTGGCTCGGCTGCCGCCTTCAGCGCACACGTCCCGAAAAGCGATCCTATCTCTTCAGCATCCTGGAAGAAGCCTGGAAGAAGTGTCAAGTGAGTGGGTCATGAAAGGAATTAGGGGCGAGCCTGGTTCTGCCTTTCATTCATTGGTAGACCGTCTGTTAATTTGAGCCTGGAAGTCGTCAAACAAAGCACTCTCAACACTCAGGACCTCATCGAAACATGAGGCAAAAAACAAGTCAAGCATGATGCAACATGAGGCAAAAACAAGTCAAGCATGATGCAAATCAAAAGCTGTCCACCCCAACCCCATCGTCTTCAAGACCAAGCTGGGTGGCGCACGACTGTCAAAGGAGTCGCTTCACTTCCCTGAAGACAATGGATAGCTTCGCTTTCACTTCACGCATGTGCCGAGCACGAGCGACAACTGGCAAATGGGCACCTGCATGGCTTCCTTCTTGAAGAGGCCTGGTATGACGCAAAGCTGCAAGAGCCATTCGAGCATCACGACGCTTGAAGCAAGGAAGGCGCACACACGTCCTCGGGGCCAAGTGTCGGCAAGCCGATCACAGTTGAGGCAGGCGAGGCGGGGCGAGGCAGTGCATCAGTTGCACATGAGCATACACGCGCTTCTTCCGCCAAGCGCGTCAATCTCTCTCTCTCCCTCTCTGCCGCGCTTTCCCCCCCTCCCTCTCTCGCTCTGCCCCACTCTATCTCTCTCTCTCTCTCTCGCTCTCTCTGCATTCCTAACAAAGCACAGACGGCAACTGTCACACGGGGCCTCTTCACTCGACCACACAACGTTTTGCTGCTCCTCCTCGTCCAGTGCGGCAATTACCGCCGCCGCTGTGGGCAGCTCCTCCTCCGGTTCCGGCTCGGAGGCCGGGCTTCCCGCAGCCACCTTTGGGCCGGGGCTTCCGGCCTTGGGCGCGACCGCGCCCACGGCCGGAAGGGATCTCGCCGGCATCTCCACGAAGAAGAGGAAGCGGAAGTCCCGAGAGCCCTCCGCGCCTACCGGAAATCAAAATGGGCGCAGGGACGTCAACGGCGTGCACAAGTGGCATCCGTGGAAGATCATGGGGAGCCGCCCTGTCAGCCTTTGTTCATCCACAACAAGCCGCAGGAACTGTCCCTGCAAGTACCGTGATGGTTCACCAAGGTATGAGCCAGTGTCAGAAGCTATCCATGCTGGACATAGCAAACTTGGTGAGTCCCCGTAGTTGTTACCTGCGGTCTTTGGCCCACTTGCGAGCGACATGCCATTGGGTCTTGGTTGGGTTTCTCGCTTGTTTTGCGAGAAACCCAACCAAGACCCAAAGGCATGTCGCTCGCAAGTGGGCCAAAGACCGCAGGAAAACTTCGACTGCCCTCATGCATGCAATTTACGAGGCTTTACAGCTTCTTGCTGATTCCTGCTGGTTTTAGGAACTGACACCGGCAAATGGGAGCCTGTGTGCTGGATCCTGGATTCTGCCAGCAATCCAGGTATGGGTTGAGCCTCCTTCTTTCATTGGTGTAGAAAAGGTAAGCCCTGTCAACGATTGGATGAGATGATGCTCGTTCGCTGGGAAAGATAGAGAAAGCCAACCTGTTATTTTTGAGACCTAGCACCAAAACAAACCAAAACATGCGAGAAAAGTGATAAGGTTAAAGGCTGGCTTTGGACGACTGAGGTGGCCTGGCAAACCGCTCTCTCCGCCCCTTTGGCCCAGGTCGCGCCTTGCCAAGTCACTGGGTCGACGCCCAAAGAGATGGCGTCCCCGGATGCCAGGGCCTGCCGGGTGCCCGCGAGGCGCAGGTGCACATCAGGAATGGGGCCGAGCAGGCCGAGCACTCCCTGCAAAGACTCCCATATGATGTTCCCCATTCTCCGGGCATCCAAACGTCTTGTTGGGCGGGGCGAAGCCTGGCCTCACCCTCGACATCGTCGGGTGAAACGCGGCCGCGGCCAACAACCCAAGAGCCGTTGGTGCTGCCCAGGTCTCGCCTCACCGTGAAGGCCGACTGGCTGCAAAGCTCTGCAAGTGGCTCTGGCTGCGAGCAGACTTTGGAGGGATCGTTTTGGCGCCAGTCACTGGGCTCCTGACAAATAAGCCTCTCCTGGCTTCTGCCCTGGCCGCGCGACTTGCTTCGCTGCTTCGTGCCATTTGGCGATTCGCGTGGCCTGGAATGATCTCTGCATGGACCCTGCTGATGACTGACGCCTCCTGCGCCTGCTCTGCCTGGCGGACACGAAGCAATGCCCACGCATTGCATCACAGGGTGTTTCAATATTAAACCATACGGAGCTACCAATCAGCTGAAGACTGAAACGTAAGCTCAAGACAGGTCCAAATGAGACTCCCTCTCGGCACCAGGGTGCCGTTACAAAGCAGGATTTGCTTTTTCGTGAGGATTGCGGGAGCTCCGGATAAATGACACAGCGCGCCAACATGCACAGAAATATATATATATATATTATATATACATATAATGTATTTTATTATATTTAAAAAAACAACAACAACAACAACGCCTGCCTCCAGCAGCCCAGCTGCCCTCCGCGGGTCCCGGCCCAAGAGAAGCTTCTCGCTGCGCCGGCCCGAATGCACCGACACCGCCCCGGCGGGCCTCGCCCGGATGTGGGTCGGCTTCCGCGGTCCGTGGCACGGATCACGGCTAAAGTCACTGCGCAAACTTTAAAGCCGAACGGGATCAATCCAACATTTGCAGTTCTTGGCGACTTGAGCGTCTGGCGCCTCCGGCCCCGATGGTAAGGTCCTGAGCCCCCCGCCAGCCCAAGCGCGCGACGCAGGTTTCTTGTATGTCTGGCTGTTCTACCCGCACATCACCCCACCACAAGGAATTGCTGAGACTGGAAATGAGCGAGAGGCAAAACCTAAGACTACTTTGGGCGATTTCGAGCAACACGTTATCGTTTTTGGGGCTTCGCTATATCGTTCTGCAATGTTTCAGACACTGGTGTGTTTATGTCAAGGAAGGGTGGAAGGGGGAAAGAGAAAGAATGGAGGAAGAGAGCAGAGGAAGAGAAACTGGGAGGAAGAGAAAGCAGGAGGAGAAAGGACGAAGGGAAGAAGGATGGGAGGAAGGGATAAAGGAATCCAGGGAGTAAGGGAGCAAGGAAGGATGGGGCAATGGAAAAAGGAGGGTGGAAGGGAAGGGAGGAAGGGAAGAGGAAAGGAAGAGGAAGGGAGGAAGAGGAAGGGAGGAAGAGGAAGGGAGGCAGGGCAGAAGAGGAAGGGAGGCAGGGCAGAAGAAGAAGGAAGGGAGCAAGGGAAGAAGGCAGAAGCCAGGAAGCCAGGAAGGCAGGAAGGCAGGAAGGCAGGAAGGCAGGAAGGCAGGAAGGCAGTAAGGCAGGAAGGCAAGAAGGCAGGAAGGGTGTAGATGCTGCGCCTCCCCGCAAGCTCCATGACATGCTTTTTGACGCTGGTTCCAGACCGCCCGCAAGCACCTGGAGGTGGAGCAGGGCCCACACGCTGACCACCACTGATTGATGAGTAAGCGGTGGCCCGCCTTTTGTGCTTTCCGGGTGTCGTTGAGGTATCGTTCAGAGTATCGTTCAGACAGCCCTCCAAAACCAGAAAATTTTGCCCATTCTCTCAGTCCAGGGCATGTGCCAAAACCAGCTACACGTTGCGTGCGTGCGCCTCGCAGCCCGGACTGCTGTCCGGTGACTTGGTAGCTGCAAGCGAGACTTGTAAACAACTTGAAGCACAGCAGCACCATGCAGCACCTTTTACTTGGGCTACGGCTCCACCTCTGAGTCCACAAGCTCTTTTCGAGCACCAGCAACGAATGGGCCACCCCCCCGCGCCATGTGAACGCTGCAATTCCAGGGGTGTGGTTTCGGTGTCGTTTTGGGTATCGTTTTGAGCAAGCAGTGCTTCGGTGGCCAAAAATGTCCCCGAATGATCCGAAAAGGTGTTTTCGACGCCAAAAATACTTTTGGGTATGGTTTGGCATGCCGACTGTGGCGCCTGCGGGCGCAAGCAAGAAGCGTGAGCAGTAGGAAGGAGAGCAAGCAGTACTTCGGTGGCCCAGAATGCAGTTCACACTCTCCGAGTGATCCGAAAAGGTGTTTTCGACGCTCCAAAATTACTTTTGAGTATGTTTGGCGTGCCGACTGTGGCGCCTGCGGGTGCAAGCAAGAAGCATGAGCAGTAGGAAGGAGAGCAATCGGTGGCCCAGAATGCAGTTCACACGTGGCGCCTGCGGGTGCAAGCAAGAAGCATGAGCAGTAGGAAGGAGAGCAATCGGTGGCCCAGAATGCAGTTCACACTCCCGAGTGATCCGAAAAGGTGTTTTCGACGCTCCAAAATTACTTTTGGGTATGGTTTGGCATGCCGACTGTGGCGCCTGCGGGTGCAAGCAAGAAGCATGAGCAGTAGGAAGGAGAGCAATCGGTGGCCCAGAATGCAGTTCACACTTTCCGAGTGATCCGAAAAGGTGTTTTCGACGCTCCAAAATTACTTTTGGGTATGGTTTGGCATGCCGACTGTGGCGCCTGCGGGTGCAAGCAAGAAGCATGAGCAGTAGGAAGGAGAGCAATCGGTGGCCCAGAATGCAGTTCACACTCCCCGAGTGATCCGAAAAGGTGTTTTCGACGCTCCAAAATTACTTTTGGGTATGGTTTGGCATGCCGACTGTGGCGCCTGCGGGTGCAAGCAAGAAGCATGAGCAGTAGGAAGGAGAGCCATCGGTGGCCCAGACCACACTCCCCGAGTGATCCGAAAAGGTGTTTTCGACGCTCCAAAATTACTTTTGGGTATGGTTTGGCGTGTCGACTGTGGCGCCTGCGGGTGCAAGCAAGAAGCATGAGCAGTAGGAAGGAGAGCAATCGGTGGCCCAGAATGCCGCAGAAATTGCTGCACGCCTTGCTTTTGTGGTTGCCGGAAGGGCCAAACCATACCCACAAGCCAGCCAAACCATACCCACAAGCCACTGAACACTCAAGACGCGCCTATTGGGTGCTTTTGACCAAAGCTACACTCCCCGGCTTGTTGCTCAAAACTGCGTTCCCCGGCTTGCTATTTGGAGGTTGCTGGAAGGGCCAAACCATACCCAAAAGAAATTTCGGAGCGTCGAAAACACCTTTTCGGATCACTCGGAGAGTGTGAACTGCATTCTGGGCCACCGATTGCTCTCCTTCCTACTGCTCATGCTTCTTGCTTGCACCCGCAGGCGCCACAGTCGGCATGCCAAACCATACCCAAAAGTAATTTCGGAGCGTCGAAAACACCGTTTCGGGTCACTCGGAGAGTGTGACTTGCATTCTGGGCCACCGATTGCTCTCCTTCCTACTGCTCATGCTTCTTGCTTGCACCCGCAGGCTCCACAGTCGGCATGCCAAACCATACCCAAAAGTAATTTTGGAGCGTCAAAAACACCTTTTCGGATCACTCGGAGGGTGTGAACTGCATTCTGGGCCACCGATTGCTCTCCTTCCTACTGCTCATGCTTCTTGCTTGCACCGCAGGCGCCACAGTCGGCATGCCAAACCATACCCAAAAGTAATTTAGAGCGTCGAAAACACCTTTTCGGATCACTCGGGGAGTGTGAACTGCATTCTTTGCCACCGATTGCTCTCCTTCCTACTGCTCATGCCGTCGCCACAGTCGGCATGCCAAACCATACCCAAAAGTAATTTCGGAGCGTCGAAAACACCTTTTCGGATCACTCGGAGAGTGTGAACTGCATTCTGGGCCACCGATTGCTCTCCTTCCTACTGCTCATGCTTCTTGCTTGCACCCGCAGGCGCCACAGTCGGCTACCAAACCATACCCAAAAGTAATTTCGGAGCGTCGAAAACACCTTTTCGGATCACTCGGAGAGTGTGAACTGCATTCTGGGCCACCGATTGCTCTCCTTCCTACTGCTCATGCTTCTTGCTTGCACCCGCAGGCGCCACAGCCGGCATGCCAAACCATACCCAAAAGTAATTTTGGAGCGTCGAAAACACCTTTTCGGATCACTCGGAGGGTGTGAACTGCAGTCTGGGCCACCGATTGCTCTCCTTCCTACTGCTCATGCTTCTTGCTTGCACCGCAGGCGCCACAGTCAGCATGCCAAACCATACCCAAAAGTAATTGTAGAGCGTCGAAAACACCTTTTCGGATCACTCGGGGAGTGTGAACTGCATTCTTTGCCACCGATTGCTCTCCTTCCTACTGCTCATGCTTCTTGCTTGCACCCGCAGGCGCCACAGTCGGCATGCCAAACCATACCCAAAAGTAATTTTGGAGCGTCAAATACACCTTTTCGGATCGTTCGGGGGGTGTGAAGTGCATTCTGGGCCACCGATTGCTCTCCTTCCTACTGCTCATGCTTCTTGCTTGCACCCGCAGGCGCCACAGTCGGCATGCCAAACCATACCCAAAAGTAATTTTGGAGCGTCAAAACACCTTTTCGGATCGTTCGGGGGGTGTGAACTGCATTCTGGGCCACCGATTGCTCTCCTTCCTACTGCTCATGCTTCTTGCTTGCACCCGCAGGCGCCACAGTCGGCATGCCAAACCATACCCAAAAGTAATTTTGGAGCGTCGAAAACACCTTTTCGGATCACTCGGGGAGTGTGAACTGCATTCTGGGCTACCGATTGCTCTCCTTCCTACTGCTCATGCTTCTTGCTTGCACCCGCAGGCGCACAGTCGGCATGCCAAACCATACCCAAAAGTAATTTTGGGGCGTCGAAAACACCTTTTCGGATCACTCGGAAAGTGTGAACTGCATTCTGGGCCACCGATTGCTCTCCTTCCTACTGCTCATGCTTCTTGCTTGCACCCGCAGGCGCCACAGTCGGCATGCCAAACCATACCCAAAAGTAATTTCGGAGCGTCGAAAACACCTTTTCGGATCACTCTGAACTGCATTCTGGGCCACCGATTGCTCTCCTTCCTACTGCTCATGCTTCTTGCTTGCACCCGCAGGCGCCACAGTCGGCATGCCAAACCATACCCAAAAGTAATTTCGGAGCGTCGAAAACACCTTTTCGGATCACTCGGAGAGTGTGAACTGCATTCTGGGCCACCGATTGCTCTCCTTCCTACTGCTCATGCTTCTTGCCTGCACCGCCAAACCATACCCAAAAGTAATTTTGGAGCGTCGAAAACACCTTTTCGGATCACTCGGAGAGTGTGAACTGCAGCACTCTTGGAGCTCGGGCTCTTCTCCAGAGCCTTCCGGATCACAGATCTGCTCGGGCAAGTGAGGCCTTCCCATCCTCCTGCAGCAGCAGATCTTTGAGGAGCAAGCGCAAGCCCGCCAAGGCGTCCGCGGCCTGGCCCGTTGCGGGCCCTTTGTGTGCGCGGAAGGATGTGCGCTGAAGGAGCTGCGCGTGTGGTTGAAAAAGCAAACGCACTATAGGTAGGCCTCACATTGGCTGCTCCGGGACGTTCTCGGAGTATCGATAGGGTGTCGTTTTGGGTATCGTTCTGGGCGCGTGTAGTGTCACGAAAAAAACAAACTTGCTATAAGCTAGAGCCAAGCAAGCGCACAAGAGCCTTCTCTACCTTGCAGTAGTCATGTGATCAGCGGACTAAACTATGCTTCTCTGGCTCCCAAGCATTGGCGGCTTTGCTTGCTGGCTGCAACTTCCAGGTCGCAAGTCGCAACTTTCAGTACCAGCGCAGTACGCAAGTTACACTTTGGCAGCTCCAGCTCGAAGGTCGCAGCGTGCTCCGGTGCCTGCGGGCGCCTGTGCGTGTGCGTGTGCGCGGGTGCGTTAGCGATCCATCTGGGTGGGCCCATCTCGTGCACACATGTGCCCACCATGCATTGCCGAGGAGCATTGACAGGAGCTGTCATGGCAACTTGCAGCTTGGGGCAAAAAAAGGCTCACACAGTGCAAAATAGAAGCGCGAAGCGCCAGTTGCACGTCATGCGACGTTATCGTTTTTGGGGCTTCGCTATATCGTTCCTGAGGAAAAAATACAAAACAAGCAACGCGAAATCGCCGAAGACATATTTTATGACGAGAGAGTTTAGCCTTTTGCTCAAATCTAGGAAGCTCTGCAAAGGAAGATGAACGCCAAACTTTGATGAAGTAGGCAGGCAGGCAAGCGCAAACAGCAAGCGTTAGGGCACAGAATACGTTGCTCCTCAGAAGTGGCTATACTTTTGAAGTCAAGAGGATGCTTTTGCTCTGATGCGCATGGTCTTCCGTATGCATCTTGGCTGACACGTACTGTGCTGTCCTGAGGTGGAGCCAGCACCCGCACTTGAACCGTGGGAAGCTGGTGGCCTCAGTCAGGCCCGCTGCGCAAGGGAGCAGGCAAGTGTCCTGGAGCTTGGGCCACATCTGGCCCATCCTCCAAGTCTTCGGAATCCGAGACCTCGAATTCCGCCGGGACAAGCGCCTCCGTGCCCCATGAGCGCCACAGGCCTCCGTGGCCGCGTCCAGCCTACAGTGAACCGCATGTGACATGGGCAATCACCATGACGTCAGCGGGGGATCCCCTTGATTGTCGCAGAAAGTGGCTTGCTCTCAAGCTCGATTTTCCTGCGCAGAACCGTGTGGGAGCGATGCACCCCGGCCTGCCCACCAGGGTCTTGACGAAGATGTCGGCGAGGACGGAGCCGATGACCGGCACCTTGGCCGAATGCCAGGGGTCAATGCCATGTCACTGGCTCTAAGGGCGCGGCGCTCATGGCATTGCCCGCTCCAAGGACCACCTCCTAATAAGACAAGCAGAGATCACTTGTTCACCACGCGTTTCCCCCACCCTTTTGGCTGACGCGCACCTTGTCGCTCAAGCCCTGCAGGGCTTTTGCCAGCAGAGGGTCCCTGCGTGCGAAAACGAGTTTCCTCACGGGAGACACACTTCATCGCAAAATTGTGACAACCCTGGACACCGGTGGAGAGGCCTCGCTGGGAAGCCTTGCAAGTGCAAAAGCTCCACCGGCATCACTGACCTCCCATGGCGCCCAATGAACGGAGATGCCAGTGGCTCTCTTCTGTGACACCTAGTTGTTTGCAAACAAGTGGTCATATAAACAAATAAATAAATAAATAAATAAATAAATAAATAAATAAATAAGCAAGTAAGCAAGCAAGTAAGTAAGCAAGTAAGTAAGCCAGTGAGTAAATAAGAGAACATATATATATATATATATGTGTGTGTGTGTGTGGGTGTTACATAGCTGTCGTGGTCTCCCAAGCCCCTTCTCACCACCAAGGGGATGTGCAACCACAAGTAGAATTACAGTGAGTGAGTGCCACCCTCCCCCCAATTCGTTTTACTTTTTCTTTGGGGGGGGTGGTGTGGTAATGTAGCAAAACCGCGGCGTCACGATGCTGCCGCCTCTGGCTGACGCGCACACCCTCCTGGATGCCAAGCACTCCCAAAAAAAACTACGTTCGCCCCGCATGCCTGGGCGCTCTGCCGGATCCAAAGCCAACCTGGGCGACGGAGACCCGCATGTCTGAGGGTTACAGGGGGGTGGGCCCACAAAGACAACCTGAACCTACTTAGTGGGGTGCACATCCAAGCAGAGCCTGCAAGTGCAAGTGCAAGCTCTCTGGGCAGCCGGCTCCTAAACTGCGCCGTGATAGTCCCAAGCAGGCCATCCTCTGATGTCGCCAGTTGCCAGTTGCCCCCACAAACACCAGTCACTGCGTGCTGCGCCAAGGCACGAAGCGCAGCTTGCTGAAGCCACTGTCCACATCCCGGTCAATGTCCGCGCCTCGTCCAGTCAGCCAGGGTCAGCCGGGGCCCTGAGGCGCTAAGGGACCTTGAGGCTCTGGCAGGCGACCTTCCAGTTGGGTTCCCTGCCCGGAGATTTGCGGAGCACCAAGGCACGGATTCACACCACCGCAAGACCCATGCCCTGCCTCTCGGCCTCGGGCTGAAAAAGGAAGCAGAATGGATCAAAAAGGTCCAGAATCAGCTGAGGCATGAGCTAAAGCTTCATCCTGCACTGCACGCATGCGCAGACAAGCGCATGTGCGCGTGGCGCAGCTCTTCCCTTTGTGCAACCAAGCAGCCCACTTCCGCTTCTTGTCCCTAAGGCGCTCAGGCACCTGTGCCGAAGGCAGCAGGCCCACCACAGCCGGACCACCAACCCACATCCCAACGAGCTGAGCCAATGCCTGCAAAAAGCCCTCGGGGACTTTGCCCATGGGCACCAGCCACTCCTCAGCCGCACGGCCCAGAAGTCAGCGGCACCGAGTTCCTGAGACCCCGGCCTCCAGCCGTGGGCACACGGCATGCTTGGGCCTTACGTACAGATCGTACAGTATGGCAAGTGAAGATTCTGCGGATGCCTGGGGTCCGCTAATCTGTCCAAGGACCGCTACCGAGCTGACCAAACTCGCGCAGCAGTTTTTCAAGCCTGCGCAAACTCTCTCCTCAAGCGTTCCCAGCAGTGCTGGCAGCATGCCCAAAGCTTCGGAGCCCGCCGCATCCGCCCCTTCCGCCACAAAAGCCAAGGATGCAGTCTCCGCAGCACCTTCCTGCAACGAAACCGCCAAATGTAGCGCCTCTGGCCACCTGTCCACATGCCGAGGCTGCATTCCCCTAGAACTTCAAGTTCAGCACGCAAACGCTTCGGAGTCAAACAGGGAACCCTGCCCAAGCGACGGTCGACGCATTTCCGACGAATCCCGCGCCTCACCCGCAGCGCCCGCGCACCTGTGGCCGCCGCCACGAGGTCGACCTCCAGTAACTGCCGCGGCATTAGCGCCAGCAAGCGCTGTGCGGCTTGCCAGCGGAGCGCTTGGGCGGAAGCCAGCAGGCAGGAGCCGAAGGACGCCTCCAAAGGCCAAAGTTGTCCACAGGACCAAGAGTCGGACTTTGCCAAAAACCAAGTCCCCTTCAGGCACGGGATTTGGAGGTAGGGAGGGTCAACGTCCAGCGTTGTCCCGCCTGGTCCGGGTGGCTGGCCGAAGCCAAGGCTTGCAAGGCCAGGCGCCACCGGGTGCCCCGGGCAGCCGCCGCCAGGGCGGAGTTGAGGCACACCACATCTGCCTTGCGCATTGTGCACGCTTCTGATGAACAACTTTGGGTGTGTGTCAAGCCGGGGCCATCTGATGCATCTAGTTTTCGCTCAGTGTTCCCAAACAATCCCATCACAGTTAAAATATTGGGGCCTGTTCACTTGCAATACACATTAGGGAGCCTCTTCGGAGCAGCGCCCCAGCTCGCCCAGCAGTGCAAGTGCGTGCAGCCACTGCAGGCCCTTCTCGCATACCGACATGGCGGTGCCAAAGGAGAGCGTGTCGGGTGCCAGGCCAGTCCGGTCTGCTGGGTCACGATCTCTGGCCTTCGGCCAGGCGGCCAGGGAGCCAACCACTTGTTTAGACACGTTAAAGCCACTGTCGTTCAAACATACTCATCCCTTGGGGTCTTTGCCCAGGCCATGCCTTCAGCTCCGAGAAGGCGCCGAGGCAGGATGCCCACGCCTCGCTGAGGGCGAAGGCTGAGAGGAGCGAGTTGTAGCTGGCCATGCTGGCGGGCAAACGGCACGCGGCCATATTTCGCAGAACCGCGCCTGCCCACATCCAACCCGCCCTGGACGCGGCGGCTTTCATGGCGGTGTTGTGCCCCACTACGTCCATCTGCCAGGCTGCCAGCACGTGGATGGCCCTTCCCCAGGCCAGCTCTGCGCAACTGCCCGCCGCAGCGTTGGCAGCCAAGGCACAGCGCCGGTGCCCTGAGCTGTGCAAGATGGCAAGCTGCTGAAGGCAGCGCAGCCACTGTGCGCTGCGGCCCAGGGAGGACAAATGGCTGACCAGCCTGTCATCAGCAGGCTTCATGGAGATGAGCTCGAGGGAGGCAGGCCAGGCCACAGCTGCCCCCAGAATGTTAAGTGTGACTGCTCGCAGGGCCCCCGCTTCGAGGCGGTGGCCAGCCAAAATGCCAACGGCTTGTTGCCAGTTGGCAGACTTCACACAAGAGGACTCCACAGACGCATAGATGTGCGCGTCCGGCTGTGCAGCAATGCGGCGTAGGGTGATCAGCAAAGACAAAGATTGCAGCCAAGACCTGGCGGTGTTGATGCAGGCGCTCGCGAGGAACAAATTTGGGCGCTGCCCAGACCTTCGGCTTTGGGCGAAAAAGTCCACGGCCTCAGCCCAGCGCCTGCGCTTCCCCAAGGAGGCGACGACTGATGCCAGGCCGAAGCCATCTTCTGGCATGGCCGCTCCTCTGGGCCATCATCCTGCCTGCCAATCCACGCTGACAAGTGGACCACGGGAGCAGCACATGGCCTGCTGAGCAGGTGCAAATGCTGGAAAGGAGTAAGCCAAAGGCCAAGGAAACAAGTTGCGCCTCTCAAACACATTGCAAAAACATGCAAAATCTCTCTGCTGGCATCTCAATGAAGTAGCCCGTCACTTGCGCTGGGTTACGGACGGTGTGCAAAAGGATCGGCCCCGCCTCAAGCGCAGCATTGCGGGAACAACAATCAAAGGGGCCGGGCCTCGCTCTCTTCTGTCGCCGCTATCGGCGAATCGGCGCGCGCTCTGAGGAGCCCACACTTCCAGCGACCGGTGCACGCCAACAATGTAGACACGAGCCCGACTCTGCGGCAGGGAGTAGTCCTCACGAGGCACCAGGGCATGCGACCCCCCAACCTGCAAACCCTCAAATGGCGCCAAGGCACATTGGGCCAGCGCATGAGCATGGCAGTGTGCCTACCCCTGTTGTTGTTTGCTTGAGGTGGGGAAGTTCTGCCCACCCAGTCAAGGCAGAAAAGGGGATCGCTGCCTGCAAACCAAGTTCGAACAGCCGCATGTCCTGGGAGTTCATGTCGTAGACCCTGAGCTGTCAAACATCAGCCCGCGTGCTGCATCAGCTCTGAGCCAGGGGCCGGATTTTGAAGGCCGGGGCTGCCGCTCGCAGCCGCCTTGACGAAAGTGGAGGCGACAGAGGCGCCGCGTGCCTCGAGGCCCGGGCCTCATGACCTCGTCGATGCCCCGGGAGCCGTGCGAGTCCTCCATCTTGATGCCCTCCACGTTCTCAAGAATAAAGCACCTGTACATCGCACACCATCCTTGCGGCCTCAACCCTCCCTTAACGAAAGCAAGCAATCCGATTGGACTGTGTGTGTGTGATCGATGCAAGTTCTCTGTCATAACGGAAATAAGATCGTCCCTTGCACCAAGGCCTCAAAGCATCGTCCCCCAATCGGCCCGCCAGCTCTGCGATCAGCTCGATCACCCGCCTAAGGCTCACCCAGGCTTCACGCACAAGACACCTTGCTTCTTAGAAAGCAGAGCCCCAAACCATCCCGGACCTTTCAATACATCCTGACTGCGGAAAGTGTGTTGCCAAGCAAAGGGTGGTTTGATCAAAGCCAACAAGTGCTTTCTCAGCTCCCATTGTTCCTTCCATCCAGTGGCAGGAAGCCACTTCCTAAAGGAGGAGTACTTGTTTTAGGTTTTTTTTTGGGGGGGGATTTGTTTCGCTTTTGGCTTCTTGGCTTCTTGTCTTTTCGGCTTCTTGGCTTCTTGGCTTCTTGGCTTTTTGGCTTCTCGGCTTCTGGACTTTTCGGCTTTTTGTTGGTTTATGCGTCTTTTGGTGGCTTTTTGGCTTTGGCTTTTCGCATCCTCTGCATTCCCAGTTCCTCTTCGGCAGGTGGCGTTTTGGCTTTTGCGTTTATCCGGCTTTTGGCGGCTTTGGCTTTTCGCATCCTCTGCTTTCACAATTCCTCTCTGGGCTTTTTGGCTTTTGCACCCTTTCATTGGTTTTTGGATTTGGATCACCAGTTCCTCCCTATTTGAATCATCACTTCTTCGAACATCATGGGGGGGAAGCCTCCCCCCAAACCCACCCGCTACTGTTTAGATTGTTTGCAGAGTCATTGCACCCCTATTTGAATCAACACTTGTTCAAACATCATGGGCCAACCCCCCGCACTTTTTAGATTTCTTGCAGAGATTGAATTGCACCCCTATTTGAATCATCACTTTTTCGAGCGTCCAATTTCGCGAGAAAATGCTGCAAAATACGATATTTTGGGTAATCTGTGTACTCCATGTATGTCTGTATGTATGCACTTCTTCGAACATCATAGGGGAAGCCACCCCCGCCAACCCTCCCGCTGCCTTTTAAATTCTATCGCACCCTTTCTTGAATCATTGCACCCCTACTTGAATCAAAACTTCTTCCGACATCATGGGGGCGCTGCCGCCCCCCCAACCCCCCCCCCGCTACGTTTTAGATTTTCTACAGAGATTTAATTGCACCCCTAGCCCCCCCCCCCCCCCCAACCCCCCGCTATTTTTTAGTTGTTGTTTTTTTGCAGGGACTGAAATGTCAGCATTTTTTGACCCCGTCAACCCGCCAGCTACTTTTCGATTTTGTTACCCCCGATTTGTTGGTGATATGCTGGTCGGACATGCGGGGGATGTTGAAAACGATGCTGGGGATGTTGACGGGCTAGTGTAAAATGCGTATTGCGCGAGAAAATGCTGTAAAATACAACATTTTGCTGGCTCGGCTGGGGAAAAAAACGGAAAAACAAATAAATCCGTACCGCTTCCTAAATGGCATAGGTCAAAATCGAGCTCAAAATGGTGTCTTTTCCTTTTGGCTTCCTCTGCACCCCGCAACGGGGTCTCACGGGAAACCACCCTTTGGCATTCCACAAAACGCATCACGAACAACGCGTTGGCCTGAGGTCGCCGCCAAAAGACCTCCGCCCGCGGGTCCTTGCTGCACCGCCTGGTGCCCTGCTTGGACCAAGGCGGGCAAGGCGGCCCTGCCCCGGCCGGGCGCGAGTAAAAACGGCGCGCAAAGCACACGCCTTGGGTGGGCGACATGGGTTTTCAGGTCATCGGTCCAAATCAATGTGCATGTCCTCTTGGCATGGACCCCTGATCTCCTTTGAACACATCACAAAGGGTTCTGACTTTTGTGTGAGTTGTGTTTTGTGTCTGCGTCATGTCCTCTGAAACATCCAAATGTGAGATGACGTCCTTTCCAAAACTCGCCATCCCCCCACCCACACGCAAAATTATATTTGGCTGGGGGTCCAAACTCAGTGCCAATATGGACTGGCAAATGGAACCGGAACCAAGGACAAAAACGTGTTTTTCTAATGGTTTCATTTTGATCCATATCCACTTCTCACCGTGGACCATGTGAGGCATGCGGCATGGTCGGTAATGGTCGTGTCACCAATTGACATTGGTATTTGGTGAGCAGCCCCAGCTTCCATTTGTTTAACGTGCCGCAGAAAAATTCCCTCTGCAGTCCGTGACAGTGAATATGGAAGTTTGCTTTGACGAAAAACAATTATCCCACGCGCTTTGCCTGCGACCAAAATGTCCGCAGAGGGGAAGTGCGACAAGTCCAGGCGCAGGAGGTCCCCCTGACCCGGCTGCGGCTCAAAAACGGTGAATGAACAAATTCATTCCTCCTGGGTTGGGAGGGGTTGCAAAGGACCGGAATATCTGAGGTGATCAACTTTTCGACCCACCTCAGTGTATCATTCCTAGGAAAGCCCAACTCAAGCGCCTCCGCTGGGCCCAGCCACGTCTTCTTGGCCTGTGAGCTGGACACCAGCTCGCATTGCTTGGGTAGAATATCATGTGGAAGCTGCCCCCCCCCCTCGCATATTGACCAATGGGCGCTCAAGTGGCGAGGCAAACCCTTCAAGCCCCTGAGCCCGGGGCATGCCGCATGTTTCGGCAGAACTTTGAGGCATGAGAAGCGACCTCCGCGGCCAGCAGGTCAGAAAACCCTAGCAAGTATTCGATGAGTTTGAGGGATGTTATGCTGCCTGGCCGAGATTCAAAACCCAGGCACCCTGCATCCACCACGAAGGTTTGCTCGAAGTTTTGGATGCCAAGCTGCCGCAAAGCAAAGTACGGCGCCTTGCAAGTTGAAGAAAGATGGGTGTCTTCAGTCATGCCTTTGGCCAACGAATCTGACACACTGGCACACACACAAATATGTATATATAATACAGAAATATGTTATATATACACACATCCATACACACTTGTACTCATGCATGGGTTTTCGCATGAACATGCCGGTCTGCATGCGTACTTATTCATGCGTGCTTAAAATGTGTCGTTCATGAATTGGAACAGCTCAAGCTTGTCCATGTCGCATTTGGCTTCACTCCTGCTCCCTTGTGACTGGCCTCGAAGCCGGCGCAGGGCGTGGCAAAGCGAAGGGGCCGGCGCCTGGCGCCGAGAGGAACTTGCTGACATGACCTACCTTGTTTTTTTTACTTACGTACCTCAGAATGCCATGTTATACATATAGTCATGTATGATACAGAGTCATCGATACATACATACGTGTCAATATATACAAATATATGTAAATACTGACTATACATATTTATATACAAGTATGTATGCAAGTTAACGCATATGTACACTCACAAGAATCTATTTAATGTTGCTACCCACACGACCTACGAACGCCAAGCTGCGCAAGCTGAACAGGTGTTGCCTTCTCACGGCTAGTGAAGACTTCTGTGTGCCGGCAGCCACCGCCAGTGTCGACCAGAACAGCTACTGAGAAGCCCCCAACGTGTTCGGTTGCACATGGTTTGATAAATTGATGAACCTTTGCGGGCTTGAAGATGATGGAAGCAGCCATAGCAGCCCAATCTCTGGATCACCCTCCATTTGCCTTCGTCAAGTGCCGGTGGATGACGATTTGAATGTGGAGAGGCTTGCTATACATCTTTGCTCACGCAATGCTGATCTCAATTTTCTGGGGAGGCTGGGTTTCGCACTGTCGGGCGCGCGTTTTACCTTCGGAATGGTTCGTTTCATGCTCTTTTGTGGTCAGCGGAATTTTGGGCTCTCGCGACGTGCGCCCGCCCCCGTCCTCGCCTCTGCGAGTTGATGGCGTCCACAATTTCCGCCAGGCCAGCCAGCTGGCCGTGCACCTGCGCAACCTCGGCAACAGATTCCATGAGCCGCCAAAGTGCAGCGGGCATTCCAGATCATTCCAGATCCAAATCTCAAAGCTCTGCCAAGAGCAGCACCCAGTCCTGTGGCGGAGCCTCGAGCAAAGCCGGTTGTCAAGTGACTCCCGTGAGAGCTGAGTCACAACTTCAAGACTTTCAACATCCACAGTGAGAATGCTCCAGCATGGTCATCCTTAATACTCACCCCAAGCCAAAACCCAGCCGGCAACGACTGAAGCGCATTCTCCCAGCTCGACCTCGGACTGGCTGAGGAAACGTGAAACTCAGCCAACTTCAATCGCCAGAAAGCCAGGCGGGACTGACGGAAAAGCGACATGTCGCTGGCAGTGGCGGTGGAATCTGTTGGATGTCCCTTGTGCGGTACGTGGGCGGTGTGCGACTGGTTGCTCAATTGCTTGCTTGCTTGCCCTCACAGAAACTGGCACCGATTCAGCTCCCAGCCCGCTAGGCTGCTTCTGCACGCCCGCATTGGGCTCCATGGCAACCGCATGGCAAGCCTGGAATTTGTGTCTCCCTGAGATAGTTGGGCTGGGCCTGTTTCAAGTGGCTGCCTTGGATGAAAATATTGAGCCAAGGGTCATAGCTCTTGTTGCGTTGTAGGGGAAGCTAGAGGGAGAAGAGCAGCCACTTCGATTACCAACTATGCCAAAGGCAAACAACACATGGTGCCTCTTTCCGGCTCTGGTCAAAGCTGCGGCTCCCAACTTGCTACTCCGCTGCTCGCTGCGCGCGCGACGAAGTGCCCTCATCCTTTTCCACCTTGGAGCCCGTCGGGGCTGAAATCCAGAACGTGGCTTCGCCATGCGACTGGCCGCCCATGCAGTCAAATTGGCAGCGCGCGAAACCCACTAAAACGTGAGAAAAGATAGGTGTAGCAGTGTAGCATATTGAACAGCTTGAAAACACTTGTGCAAACGACACGGCCAACATTTGTCTCGGGCACTGCTGTAAGGTGCCTTCCAGGCTTTGCCGAGGAAGCACACACACACACACACACACACACACACTCTTGGGAAGAGAACTCAATGCCGCTTAGCCATCTCCATCTGATTCACCTCCACCCCGCAGCCCGGCAGCCCCCCAGTTTCCAAGTGCAAAGTGGCGCCCACCAAAATAGCAACTGGCGTTGCGATTGCTGACAGACGCAAATGGAGCAGACTGAGGCCGGGGCTCTCTGGCGCCCAAGGGGGCTCGGGTGCCGCCTCCGGCATCTCCAGCCCGCTATCCATCGACTCCCAACCCACGGACTCGTCCTCCGCGCCCCGGTCGCGGTCCCTCCGCGCGTTCGGCGGCGCCCCGGGAGCGTTCGTGGTGGGCTGGACCTCAGCCATGCCGATCAGTACCCTGGACTCCCTGCACTCACAATTTAATACACCATTGCTTGAAGACCGCGATGGATTGCACACTACTCGAGTCACGAACTTCCCCTCCCCCGACAGCGCCCTTTCGTGGGCAAGCTCATGCCTCAAGAAAAGAGCAGAATCTGCCGGCAGAGCGGCATACGTCCTCCGGGAAATGAAGCCTCTGGTGTTAGCCTGGATGCGGATCGCCGCCAGGTTCTGCGCAATCTCATCACGCCTGAGAAACTTATAACTGTCCCACCAAGTTCCTCCAAAATCATAACACACAACTGCCTTGGAAACTCGCCTCACGGCATAATATGGGCTAACGGTCACTGGCCGACTCCCCAAGCACAAGATGCCTGCTCTGGATCTCCACCGTGATTTGCTGCAACTCCTAGCGCCGGATTGTTTCCATCGGCCTTCGAAACTTTGAGATCTGCTGACTGCCGTCTCATGTCCTCGTCACTCCGGTAGGCATGGCTTGTTCCATCGCTCACCTCAACCAGCGACCCTCCCTGGCTCTCGTGCTCTTGTGCCAACGACTCCCATGGCCGCAATCGCAAGCTTTTGGCCCGGCACAATGCGGTCGAAATCCTCCAGCGCGGGCCCCAGCTCGGGGTCAATGCCATGGTACTCGCACATCACCTGGAGAGACACACGGAGCAAGGGGCAACAGCCTCTCTGGGCTGGCAGTGCAGCTTGCGCGGGAGTGCGGTTTTAGATCTGGGCAGTTAATTTCTGCACCCCACCGCCCATCACACAAAATTCAAAGTTGCACGCCTTGCTGTCTACAGTTTTCACTTTGCAAGTGGATTTGCCAAAGTACATTGCCCACGGGAACAGCCTCGTACTCATCCTGCCATTCGCCCATGAAGCCGCAGAGCATCGCGAAGCGCTGCATCTCAGCCAAATTCAGGCGCTTGTCACCGTCGGAGTCAAGCGAGGCGAAGATGTACTGTATTGCATCTTTGCGCTCCAGCGTGTCCTGCACACGCAAATTTACAGCATGAGATATTAACAATACTCTACTGCTCCAGCACCAGGGGTCCATTAGGTTTGGCTTCACCACACTCAAGCGCAAACCTTTCGCAGAGACTTTCAAAAAAGGCACCTTGCACCCAGCCGGGTCCTTTAGTGACATCCGCATCTTCGGCTCTTTGGCACGAGGCCTCCCAACGCACGAAGCCGATCGACTGATCATGACTCATGACCGACCGACGCGCACTTACCTTAATGTGTGACCCGGGATAAATACACCCGTCCCAGTATTAGGGGGGTGTTCCCTCCAAAAGTCATGAATCCCCACTAAAAGGGGACACCCCCTATTAATCAACCAGGGGTTTATGAATCCGGGGTTAACATTACTCCTCTCCTGACCCCCATCAATGCCAAACTACTGTGGGGCCAGAATGGAATCCTAGGGCACTGAGCACTGGGCGCCAGCTCCAGCTCCTGCGTGCTCCGCTTCCGATACAGCTCCACCTCCGCAGCAAGAACGCTAAACGAGGGGAGATGGTCGTAGATCTCTTGAATTTGCTGAAGGTGTGCTACAATTACGTAGGAATCTGCAAGAACTTGAGCGGTTGACGTTGTTCCCTTTCAATTCGCATTGACGTATCAAACCCTTCCGCGAAGCTTCCGCGGTGTGAAGGGTACCTTCCGCCAGCATGTTTCTGTATACGCTTGTACAAGTGGAAGGCAGGTTGCTTCTGAACAACGTTTGCTAGTAAATGTGCTTTGCGGGAAAAAAACTTCGCGAACCTCCGAGGCTGCAGCGCGGCGCTACCTTTTTGTTGATGTGTCAACATCTATACAGGTTTCCTTGAGCGGAACAACGCCACTCACTTGAATCCTTTCTAGGCCTGACTTCCTGAGATGCTCCTGCAAGCCAACCCTTTTGCTCATTTTCTAACTCGAAATTGCGAGATTCAGCCGGGAGCTTCTTTGCACTGGCCGGGCCAAACGACGACTTCCAAACAATGGTGACCATTGACGATTGATGGCAGCCTGAGCCATCCCTCAAGAAGCCTCCTCTATCCATTAGACTGACTACCTTTTGAAAAGGATTCGAATCAACCCACGCCGCAGTGCCTGCTCCTGTTTGCCTGCGCATCTGGCCCGGCCAATCAGAGCGGCAGCTCCTGGCCTCTGGATCTGTTGTTTCCTTGGCGAGGCTCTGCTTGGCCCGCTTCGTGATCTGCGGCAGCTCCGCAGTGGCGCAATGTGTGGGCAGCTCCTGGGGAAGCCAAGTCGGACCGACTGAGGCGGCCCCTGAGCGCTACCTGATTGCCCAGGGACCCCACAGACTCAAGGACAAGGAAAGAAGGAGTGAGAAATCTGCGTTCTCCACCATTTGGCCCCTTCAGTTGAAGCTGATTCTCAGTTGTAACATAATTATACTGTTTTATTATTATCATCTGTTTTTGAATACGCCATGTTTTCATTTTGGCTCATCTCTTGTTTGTGAAAAATTGATGGGGACAGGGGCAAGGATCTAAACATCTGAGAGGATAGAGAGAGAGAGAGAGAGAGAGAGAGGCGTGTATTGAATTTGGAGAAGACCATCATTTCCTATCAATGTCTCATGGTGAGCAGGGGGAATCCTCATAATGCTTATGTTACATTAGTTGAGCTGTCATTGTCTATCAAATGTGTCTTCATTGCCTTTCTAATCCACAGTGAGACAAGAGACAGAGACAGGAATTAGTGGATGGGATGTCTTCCTACAAGCGTCTTGGGCCGTGGGGGCCGAAAGCAATCAGTGACCGAGCCCCAAACACCGACCCCACCTGGTTGGAGATGAGCGAGAGGAAGTCCCGGAAGCGGAAGCCGGAGACGCCGCAGATTGTGCACAAGGCCTGCCGGGGCCACTCCCGGCTGCCGCGCGCACGACTGCAAATTTGTAACGTGAAACTGTGTCAGCGCTGGCACTGGGAGCTTTGGGCATGATTCAAGGAACAAAGGAAAATCACTTCGTATCGCTCAACACGGTGCAAAAGTACCCTGGGCCACAACAAGCGGTCGGGGGAGGCGAGGCACTCAGACCTGCACCAGGGCCAGCCTCATACTCGCCCCGCCAGGATTCTCGGCTATTCCCAAAGCCGCAGGCGACGGCAAAGTGGTAGAGCTCAGCATCCCTCACAAGGCACACCTGCCTCTCATGTTGCCTTGAAAGAACCGTCAAGTGGGAAAGTTGCACCGGCAAAACCGCTTGACTGAAAAGCACCAATGCCGAATTCCATCCGGCCTCAACACCCTCTCTCGCGAAGCATCCAACACCTTGAAAAGGTCTTTGGCCAGCATCTCTCGCATCGAAGCCTCAATCCGCGCAGGCCCAGTTGTTCCCTCTTCTCCGCGCGTGCGGTCAACCCCCCACCCCTTCATGATTAGAAGTTCAAAGTTCTCAATTCACTTCCATTGCCCACAACCCGTTACCTGACCTGAAAGGTGCTCCTTCATATCTATTTTTTTCAGAACATGGCCGTCTTCCCTGCACCTGGGGGCAGGGGAGCCGGTCATGCTCCAAATTCGAGAGCCACACCATGACTGCCTCAATAGGAATAGGCCATCTGCTGTCAAACCAAGGTCCTTGTGCCAAGCCACTAGGTACACCAACCAAGCAAGCAAGCAAGCAACCAAGCAAGCAAGCAAGCAAGCAACCAACCAACCAAGCAAGCAGGCAAGCAAGCAAGCAACCAACCAAGCAAGCAAGCAAGCAAGCAACCAACCAAGCAAGCAGGCAAGCAAGCAAGCAAGCAACCAAGCAAGCAGGCAAGCAAGCAGGCAAGCAAGCAACCAACCAACCAAGCAAGCAAGCAAGCAACCAAGCAAGCAAGCAAGCAACCAACCAACCAAGCAAGCAGGCAAGCAAGCAAGCAACCAACCAAGCAAGCAAGCAAGCAACCAACCAACCAAGCAAGCAGGCAAGCAAGCAAGCAACCAACCAAGCAAGCAAGCAAGCAAGCAACCAACCAACCAAGCAAGCAAGCAAGCAACCAACCAAGCAAGCAAGCAGGCAAGCAAGCAGGCAAGCAAGCAACCAACCAAGCAAGCAAGCAAGCAAGCAAGCAAGCAAGCAACCAACCAACCAAGCAAGCAAGCAAGCAACCAACCAACCAACCAAGCAAGCAAGCAAGCAAGCAAGCAGAAAGGCAAACAAACAACTTGAAAGGCCGCATTTGAGCTTCGTTTCCCCTTGCCCTATACTTGCACACCCCCGCTATGCTTCAGTCAGTCCACCCTTTTCCCCTCAAAAGAAGGACCCTCATAATGAAGCCCGGCAGCTTCCGCGCGCTCATCTGAGTCAGTGCCCGTGTCCTGGCTTTGGCGCGCTGGACAAAAAGTCCAAGGACAGCGACCCATTTGCGTGTTCGATATGCTAAGCCTCCCCGACGACCCAATCATGGCACCCAGCATTTGCCCCCACCCCCGCAGCCACCTCGTCGCTCAGATTGCAGCTGTCGCGCCGCAAGTTGGAAGCCAAAACCTCGGCGCCAAGATCACCCTCCTGACATGAAGTATAGAGGTTGAACAGAGCAAGTCGCCTTGATTTGATGCATATCAAAATGGTCGGGTGGTTCTCCGAGAAAAAAAAACGCAAAAACTGCCCCTGGACCCCGTCATATCGGCCCTGCAAAACGGCGAGAGCAGGCCTGCACGAGCTGTTGGTCCCCGGAAAGCCGAACTTGGAAGGCCCGAGCTTGCCCTTGGCGGCGCATCACCGGCCGCTCCACCTTGCCCCTGGCCAAGAAGTTCAATGACAAGGGTGCACAAGCGTTCCTGTCTGGGCAAGTTCTTTTGCTCTCCAACCCCCCCTCACCTACTAAAAAAAAAAAAAAGTTTGAGGAAACACCTCACTCACAGCTGCGAGACTTTGAGCCCCGCCTGCGGTCGTTGAACTCTGTGCATGCCGGCAGCCCATGGACAACCACGCGATCTCCCGGGCGTAGGTCGACCGTGTCATGGGTCATCAGTCCTGTGCTTCCGCAACGGGGCCAGCAAGCCCACGTGCGTTTCCGAAGAGCCTAGTGACAAGAGCGATGGTCGCCAACCATAGAGGGAGTGGCCCTTTCGTGGTCCTATGGCACCCTTTGGTCTGATGCAATGTGCTCCCGTTCTGCAGAAGCCAAATTTGAAGGCGGATTCCGCGGGCTGAGCCTCAGGCATACGAGAGCTCCCTGACGCCATTCCATGTGGCGACAAAATCGGTGCCCACAACGCTTGGCTTTCCCTAATGCCCAAGCGAGTCAAAAAGCCTTGTAATGGTAGGGGCTGATAAGCTGGGGTGCCTCTGGCCAAACCTTGTGCATGTGCCCCACTCCCAAGGATGCCCGATGTGCACGGGCAACAAAGCAAAGCTGCTTGAGACACATGCAGTCAGCACTTTTGATGTATGTAAAAAGTTGGTCCAAGCTTGCTGGCATCGAGTCATTATTCATGAACTTCATTACACCACACATCACCACACCTGAGTGCCGCGCTGAGCCTCTCTTTTAGTCGCATTCATCACTTCAACTCGAGTTACTGCCCCTACTTCTACTTCTACTCTACTAGCAAGCCCATCACTGCATGCAGCTCCAGCTTCTGGATCCGAATCAGGCCGAGCCAGCCTGCGTGGATCCCAGTGCAGCCGGGAGCGACACCAAAATGATCCGAGCAGGAGCCCAAAATGCCTTTGAAGGCTTTTGCTAACAGTGACAGGTCAAGCTTGACCCTGTTCTCATTCCAAATTGCTTCAAGCGGTCCAGCAAAACCATTTTCACAGATGCAAATGTCCGGCTTGGGTGTCATTGACTTCCAACAGCTCCAGCACTGTCACCCTGCCTGGCAAGTGCATGCAGGTTATCGCCGGCGGCGCCCTCTCGATCTGGATCTGGATCTCGATCGAGAGCGAGACTTCGACCGTCTCCTGCGCTTGCGAGAAGACGTCGAGGAAGACGAGGAGGAGGATGAGGAACGACGGCGCGATTTCGCCTTCTTGCCACTTCCTTCCTTTTCAGCCTTCTCCTGCGACGGATCGGCACGATGTGCTTCGGTGCGCTGGAACAAGTTTTCTCACTCAGGATAGCAAGCAGCTGATGCAAACCAAAGGAGCGTGATTCATGCCAGCCTCCTTTCCCGGAGCCTTTCCCTCTTTTGAGCTCGTCGACGTCCCAGGCGGGCCCTTGAAGACATTATTCGCCTCCGGCTTTTTCTGCTTCTTGTCGTAGCCAAGCTCAAAGGTGACCTTGGCAAACATCCAGGGCCCAGAGTCCATCGTGGGGCCTTGCCACCTGATTGCTGTCCCGGCATGAAACAGCCGCATCATCGACACTCTTTCAACTGGTGCTTTGAGCAAAACACAGATCGACACTCTTCTTGCGCCAACCCGACTTTGGAACACGTCTGACTCGTTTTTGCCCATGGGCCTCGTCACCCACGGCCAGCTCGCTGGTGTTCATGAGCGACTTGGCATGGACAAAGACCTCGCCCTGCGTGGGCGAGCGGAGAATGCCAAAACCTCTGACGCCGCTCCAGTGGATCACGACGCCCGTGCACTTGCCATCGTTCTCTTTCTCCTTTGCCTCTTTTGCCTCCTCCTTGGCACCATCCTTGGCCTCCTTGCCCTCCTTCTCCTTGCCCTCTCTGCCCTCTTTGCCCTCCTTGCCTGGCTTGGCACCCTCCTTGCCCTCCTTCTTGCTCTTCTCCTTTCCATCTTTGGCACCCTTCACCTCCTTCTCCTTCTCTTTCTCCTTCTCTTTCTCCTTCTCTTTCTCCTTCTCTTTCTCCTTCTCTTTCTCCTTCTCTTTCTCCTTCTCTTTCTCCTTCTCTTTCTCCTTCTCCTTTGGCTCCTTTGGCTCCTTCGCCTCCTCCTCCTTTTGGCGGGACATCATGATCTCCTCCGCCGCGGCCGTCGCCGCCTTCATGCGCCGCGCCTTCTGCTCCTCGATGATCTGACTGGTCGCTCCTCCCTGCAGCGCTTGCAGCTTCTGGAGCGTCTCCTGACCAACCCACTGCCTTAAGGCCAATAAGCCTAAGGGTCTCTATCGGACATTGAGCCAAATGACTACCTGAACTGTCACTTGCTTCTTGCCCTTCCAGCCACCGTCCAGCTTCCAACTGCCGCAACTTGCAAAAACCCATCATCCCTCGCCATCCCCTCGACTCACCGGCAAGCATCAGCACCCATCATCCACCCCCCCCCTCCCCCCTCCCCCTCAAAGGACACGCTCTAACCGCCTCAAACGGATCCGTCGCGTCCTGCATCCTCGGATCCATGCGATCCGTGTTGGGCGGTGGCCCGGGCCACCGGGCCGACTTCTCCTCGTTCGGCTCGGCCGGGAACTCCTGGCGGGGAGTCGGCCTGGTGGGTGAGGTCGGGACGGGCCTCTTTGAAGGCTTCCTGCGCAAGCCAATGGTGGGGACAAGCATTGATGGTGGGTTTGCTGGCGGAGTGGCCTCAAACCACGTATGTTGAATTGCACTTCTATTTACTTGTTTGTTTATTCAATTGACGTGTATATGGTACCTACATATTGTGTGCACATATATATATATATATATATATATTGTGTGTGTGTGTGTAAATGTTTGTTTGCACACTCATTTGTCTACGCATTAATATCTCTCTCTCTCTCTCGCTCTCTCTCTTTCCCACTCTCGCTTCATCTCAATCTCATTTAGAAGAGAATTCGTGAAAGATCTGACTCATTGTGGGGTTAACACGCTAAGATAGTGTCTACCCTTTTTGGCCTGAGTGATATAGCAATCCAGGTGACATGCTGCCTATGCTACATGGCATGCAAGCATTCGGAATAGGCAGCCTCCTTCTGCTCTGGGCTTTCCTGCCCGTCGCTTTGAGGTGGCGAGCCGTGTTCCACATCCTCACAGAATGCAAGAACAGTCGCTTCACTCTGTTTCTAAGCCCACCTCGTCCTCATCCTCTGGCTTTTCCTGCCATGCAACACTCTTAGGCATATTCGGGATTGAAAGGCGCTTTGTAAAGCCCTCGCCTCGGGAAACGAGCCTTTCTGCGCCATGAGCAGCCGCTTCTGAAGCTCCTGCCAGCTTCAGGGGATCTCGCTTGGAACGCGTGCGACGGATGGCGCTGCTACGGCTCCTCTGGATTGAAGGCTGCCACAGAGGGGGCAGAATCCTTCGGCTCTTCCTTTTTGGCCTCTGGCTCTGGAGGCGGCTTCTTCTTCTCCTGGGCGCCAACCCTTCCAGCACTGTTCTCAAGAAATTCTCTGCCCCCTTCCTTCGCAGCCTTCGCCATGGTGGCCATGCTCGCCATTCCAGCCATCAACCCCATCATGGGGTTCATCATGGGCATCATGGGCATGGGCATCATTGGCATCATCATGCCGCATGGGCATCCACAGCAGCCGCACCCACAGCCACAGCAGCCAGGGCATCCGCAGCCACATCCACCGCAACCGCACATGCCATTGGCCATGCTGTTGCCCATGCTGCCTGTCGCCCCGCCGCCAGCGCCGCCAGCGCCGCCAGCGCCGCCACCGCTGCCAGCGCTGCCAGCACCGCCACCGCCGCCAGCCCCGCCAGTTCCGCCTCCTTGGGCGCCCATACTCCCCACGCCCTGCATTGCGCACGCCACGGGTCAGGCGTGGGGCGTCCTCGGTCCGAATGCCAAGAGCGGTGCACAATGCCAAAGGCGAATGTGGCAAAAGCAGGAACCAACATGTCCGACTACTCTTGGCACATACCAGGGCTTTCGGGGCCAGGCGGCCTAAAGGTCCATGCGCTTCAGAGCCTGCGCCAAGACATGCACGGCACCAGGCTCCTCAGCTGCAATGACCACACAACTTGCAAGGCAAGCGTTGAACAAAAGGATTCTGCCCCATACTAGAATATTCGTATCCCTTTACCAGTGCATTGTTGGGCTTGGTGCAGTCTCACGGACCATGTGCTGATGTTCAGTCAGCCAGCTTTGGGCCGCCATCGGTGCAGCTCAGGCGCTCAGCTGGACCCCCAGTGATGCAGAAGGGCCTAACAGGGTCCTAGCGCCGAAAATGCCACAAGCCGAGCTGGTGAACAAAGTGGCCATCAGTCGCGTGAGGAAACCTTGCAACTGGCACCTGGCAAAGACTCTGCCGCGGCAAGCTTTTTCTGTGAGCAACGCAGATCTACAATTCATTGTGTCATTGCCCCTTTAGGGCATTGGGTGAACACAGCAGTGCAAGAGCGAGAGAGAGAGTCCGCCAGCTCACTTAGGAGCACTGGAATGAATGGGCCAACCAAAGAATCTAGACTTGTTTTTGTGATGGCTGACCCCCTTGCAGATATCAAACCTGCATGCACTGTTTCGCAGCATGGGCAGAATCAAGTAAGGTTCACAACGCAATGACCTTGGACCATCGGAGCTTAGCGAGGCGCCTTGACCCCGAGCCACAGATCGAGCTCGGGACGCCTCTTGAAGGCGCACAGAGTCTCGTTAGCCTCGCATGGGTCCCGATCAGTCGGCGCACTGGCTTCAAGTTGTCCAAGCGCAAAGGCGACCAAAGGAAGACAAAGGCAACAAATGGCACTGCGACAATGCCAAGTTCGCCCAAGGCAGAGAGAAAGAGTGCCCTCGGCAGCCGCGGCCTCAACCTACTCGGGCTGCAAGCTCTAGCGCTTGATCCTGACACCCGAAAGCGAGGCGTGATCGGCAAAGCTCAGCGGCACGCATTCAACTGGCCTTGATTTTGGCGACATCCGCCTCTTTCTTGGCAATGTCCTGTGCCACTTTAAAGATCGAGCATTGCTCAAACGTTTCCAACGAAGCCAGGGCACTACAACTGGCCAGGTGTGTCTCTTTCAGTGCTGTGAATGCGTGATTCTGGAGCCGGATCTTTGTTGAGGAAACAACTGATCCCGCGCAGCGCGGCCTCTTCTGATGGGTTGCATTCTTCTACCCACAGCTTCTTCCATTCGCCCAGGTTCTCCGCCATTTGAGAATATACCTCGGCGCAAGTTGCCTGGGCCCTCGAT